AATGTATTTTCAAATAGCTGGCCATGCAATTTGTAGTGTTTAAATCTCTCTTCAGTTTTTGCATTTTTTCTATAGTTGTGTTTGATCATATTTTGCTTGAGTCAGCTTTTTAACACATTTTCTAGCATAAATTATTTTCAGGTAGGAATACAAAGAGGGGGGTTTAGTATGTGACGTCTCACCCTGGACTAACCAGAGTTAGAAGCATTCGGTTTATTCTATTTGAAATTTTATGGGCTTTGGTCTATAATCAAACAATCTTTAAATTTACGGTTTTGTTTGTTTTAGACTTTTCATTCATAATGTATTTGTCGGCAAAAAAGTATTTTATGAAAAAGGCTAAAAAATTATGTTTAATAGCAAAATTGTGATTGAAAGTCACAGCTTTCTGGAATATTGACAGAACCGTTAAATCCACATGGTCTGCCATCCTGTGTATTTGTCTTCATTCGCTATCAGTGAAATAAATAGAAGTTTTCTTCTTTTTTCTTGTTTATCATGTTTTTACACTTTAAGGCCTTTCCAAATAGTTTTTTTACATCGAGTTAAGGAGGTTTGTATAGGGGATTACTTCCTGTGTTTCTTCTTTTATACAGTTTCCCAAACAAGAAGCATTACAGAAACCCATAACTGCACTCCTTATGCAAAATGGGGAGTTGTAAGCCCTGAAGCCCCATTGAGAGGTATCTTCCACAGCAGTCCAGTCCCCACATCTGGTCAAGTAAAAATCTGAACACAGCACTTCCCCAGAGAGTAAGTCCGGGACCACTTATTAGATAGACAAGTGATAAGACCAATACATAATTGAATATCAAGCTATCTTTATTTTAATAAAATTATATTTCGTGGTTTGTTAAGAAAATAAAATCTTTTTCCACTTCAGTTAACTTTCAAGGAAGAAAGAATCTGTTAGTAGGTTAATATCATACAGGTGAAAATAATCTTTATCTATCTCAGATATCTTAAAGAACACCTTTAATTCTTCAATTAGATTTAGCTGAACTATTTGCACACCAGTTTCAGCACTTGATATAGAATACACACTACGGTAAAATAAGTAACTCTATCGCGATTGGGCTTTTTTATCTAATATCCCTATGAATTTGCCCTTAGAGTTGAAAAAGGGGAGTGTGATACATGTCCCTAGTCTAACTTTTCAAGGCCTGCTCATTGAGAAAAACAAATTAGACTTCTAATTAACTTTTATAGTTAGTATGTAAGGGATTTTTTAAAGTGCAATAAGTATGTCGAAAAAATGTTCAAAAATAGTTATTTTTACTTTTGACAAATATTATAATATGATACATGTAATTATATCCATTTTTCAAGGGCTTCTTAAATATATAATTCTTATCCCTGTTATAGCTTAATTAATAAAACAGTTATTAACCATTTCTGATTTTTTTTAACCCCGTCCTACCGTCCTCCACGATATTTTATGCATACAAAAAATATTTTTATAAAATTTGTTAACAACTCTTGTGTTGAAAAAATTAAGAAGTTTTAGTTGTTTATACAACTAGCTCTCGACTACTCTAAACCATCTATCAGTGCGTGCGCGTAGCAATTGGAAATGTACATATTCTATATAGTAAAATGTACATATTCTATATAGTAAAATGTATATATTCTATATAGTAAAATGTACATATTCTATATAGTAAAATATACATATTCTATATAGTAAAATATACATATTCTATATAGTAAAATGTATATATTCTATATAGTAAAATGTACATATTCTATAAAGTAAAATATACATATTCTATATAGCAAAATGCGAATAGATCAAATGCCTAATTTCAAAACAGTTATATGGCGAGATGTTACTGAGCCGTAATATTTACAAAACAATTTAATGAAATATAAAAAGTTGAAAAAAGTGAAAATTTGCGAATAAATAAATTTAATTGTTTCATGTAAATTTCAGCATGAAACTTCAATAATCATATATATTTTGATGCAACCTATTTTCAAGTGTTTCTGAAAATGTAAAATCTACAGATGGGACTTCATGTCAGATATAGTTACCAAAAGGAAAGATCCAGATGCATATATGGGGGTTCAGCGCCCCTAGATTGGTGAAATATGTGGTTTCTATGGGATCCTTAATCCAACAAATGTTTTAAGGATTCAAAATATTAAACAATTTTAGTTGAGGGACGGAGGGGAGTATACTAAAATACAGTTAGACCCATACAACTCTGGATTAGGAAATCAACATTAAGCAATGTATACTGCACAATTGCTGTATTTCATGTTCATTTAACTACTTATAATTATAATTTGAGTCTAAAAGTCGTCTTTCTATGCCATAGTTTTATGGGTCTCACTGAATAAAATTTCTGTTAGAATCAAGAAACATGAGACAAAATGTACTAAGAAAGCGTTTAATAACTGTTTTTACAACATTTTTCGTTTTTATACGCATTACTTTTAGGAAAAGTTTTACTAATTTTAACAAATAACATTTTATCAATAATATCAATGACATACTTAAATATGACATGAAAATTTTGGGCGTAATAAATACATTAGTTTAAAAACTATATTCATTTTTGAAAGATTTAATTGTAAATTTTTTTTTATATTTTGAAAAAAGATGAAGAAAAGTCAGATTATGTAGACTTTTCTCCATTTTAAGCAAAATATTATTATATACAATTACAATTTTGATCATTTTCTTTTTTTTAATTTCTCTTTCTCTTTATGTTCATTTTTTTCTTTTTTTCTATGTTTTTAGTCTAAAAAGACTCCTGATATGAAAAAAAACTTCTGTAAAGGAAAAATGAAAAGGGGTATAGGCTGAAACCTATGAATCTCAGGAGTTAAACTATACATATACATCTATCTGATGTTCCTGTCTCGAGAAATTGAAATAAAACTGTATAAAAATTACACCAAAACGGACATATGTCAGATTTTTTTATAAAAGTTGTAGCATTAAACAGATCATATTCAACAATTACGCAAAGAATGACTGACATTTAAAAGATTGAAGTTCGTGTTGCTAGTATAGCATGTATCTTGGGAGTCCCTGTAGTTCGTGTTGCTAGTATATCATGTATCTTGGGAGTCCCTGTAGTTCGTGTTGCTAGTATATCATGTATCTTGGGAGTCCCTGTAGTTCGTGTTGCTAGTATATCATGTATCTTGGGAGTCCCTGTAGTTCGTGTTGCTAGTATATCATGTATCTTGGGAGTCCCTGTAGTTCGTGTTGCTAGTATATCATGTATCTTGGGAGTCCCTGTAGTTCGTGTTGCTAGTATATCATGTATCTTGGGAGTCCCTGTAGTTCGTGTTGCTAGTNCTGGGGGGGGGGGGGGTCAAATTGACCCGCCCTCTATTTTCTTATTGTGATACATATCTATAAGATTTGATACGTTTTTGGTAAGCCCTTGGGCTCTACTTCAATAATCTTCAAAAAAAGACAAATTTGCAAAAATCCAAATTATACGTTATTGAGCAAAAAATAATTTTGTCGGACACAAAAACTAAGTTGACACTTGTGACGTCAGAATACAGCTTTACGGAGAGTGTATACAAATTCTACAATTCCGTCTATTGTACTAGAATCTATTTTAATTGAAGTATAAACAGTTTTTTGTGGGCTTTAAGGTGTATCAAAGCCCTTTTTCTATAATTGACTTATGCTTTAAATGTTCCTCTTCAACCACCATTTTTTCTTTGTACATCCTGAAACAAAAATGCTGGGGATTTATTTATTTTAGCCGAATATTTTCCAGAAATATTAAAAACATTATTCTCTCCAGACAACATTTTTAAAAAGGTGTCTGAACAAAACACAATCAAAAATATTTAAATGGTGTCTCCATGATTGATTGATNATCCCTACTTTCTAGCAACATTTTTTTCTAATTATGAATATTGAAATATCCCTTCTGGCCGCCCTGTAATCTTATAAAGGTAATTTGGTAATTTAGATGGTACCCTCAGGAGCGTACGTGAGCATTAGTGGGGGGGGGAACACACTTTGGGTCCCCCTCTTGGCAACATTGTGCCCCCCTTAAAACCCCTATTTTGAAAAAAAAACACAAATACCTTTTTAACTATGTTACGGTAAAATATTTAATCATATACACACTTCGATTTATATAACATAGTGCTAAAAATTATTTATGTAATTTTCTCAAGTTAACTCATCAGGCACTCCTTCTTAATACTGTGGTGTAAGCTTCAAGGGGTGAAAAATATCTATAATCTCTTTAGGATTAATTACATAAATAATGATATCAAATCTATATTTACACTTAAGGCAGTATTGAAGGGTTGTTAAAATTGCACCCCGCAACTGAGGGGTTCTCCGACGCTCTAGCACCCTTGTTCGGGAATTGATCGGGCTGGCAAGCACTTTTTTGGAACGGGCGAAACCTTAAAGCTTTTTGATGAATTTTTTTCAGTTAAGAACAAAAATGAGATTTTAAAGTATTTTTTTTATATGATGTTATTATACTTAAATGAAAAATGCATAATTTCAAGTGACCCTCCATTTGCAACGAGGCATGTCCGATGTACCTTTGAGTTTAAAACCTTCATTTCTCCATCGTTTCTGAAGAAGTTGAAGTGCATGAGTCACTTCTGTAGAGAAATGAAAATAATTAATTTTCAAACTGAGAAAACAAGGATATTTAATGCAATGCTTGATCAGACAAAGTTTTGAATTGAATCAGAATTGAATTTATGTCTGCAGTCACCAGAAACCTCTCAATTGATTCTAAGTTAATTAAACTGCTTTGTAGGTTTGTGAACTTTGAAGAAATGAAAAAAGAAAGGAATTGAGTCTTTGTAACAAATTTCTACACCCTATAATTTTTCCACCTGATAGTGTAAACCTTTGATATTTCATCAGTAACCAGTTTGAGACGAGAATTTAGTTCTTTTACTTAAAAAAATTCAATGATATTTAAATTCATTAGATTTATTTTTCTTTGAAATCTTGTTTCATGAGTTTCATGTTTTCTAAACATCAATTCTAGGTTAAAGCAACAGGACAGGAAAAAAAGGATGATATGACTATGGATCTGCTTAGTCTTGAACAGGATGACCCCCAACTGGTGGAGTATGTAAAAAACAATCTACTCATAAAAACTGGAAGTTCTAATGGAAAAGTAGGTCTTAATTACCATTGAAAGATCACATTTAAGATCCTCTGTGTTAAACATATTTTTTTGGTCAGAAATTTCAGTGTGTAATAATTATTGGGTAAACATGATATTCTGTAAACCTTAAATACCTTGTACATTACCAACTATCTACGTATGTAAACTTTTACGTAAAACCCATTATTTATTTGAGCTGTGTTTCAAATGAATACGTAGCATGATTAGCTTAAAACATGTGAATTATAATGAAGTAAATCTAAAATTTCACGTAACACATTAGTTACATTAGTTACGAGAGAGAGAGAAATGGTTTTTCTGTCTTTAAAAACAGGTTGAGGATAATCATTTTTAATTTGGGATCGATAGTTGCGAGCTTCCGATTGATATCAACAGCTAACGAGATTGCGCCCAGTGTTAGTGGCGTAGATAGATCACGAAATTGTATCTGATAAACAGGTTGAGGATTGTCCCTTTTAATTTGGGATTGAGAGCTGCTAGCTTCCGATTGATAGAGATAGCTAACAAGATCACGCCCATTGGTAATGGCGTTGATAGTTCACAGGATTGTAGCCGTGTGTTGACATTGATAGTCAAAAGAATCTGAGTTGTACCTGGATAGATACGGTTCGAGAAAGTCAAGAGAATTTGAGTTGTACCTGGATAGAAACCGTTATGGAGCAGGCATTTACGACATGTATAAACATTTATACAATTTTCATGCATTATATCTAAAGGCAATATTTAGGCCAAAGTTATTCGAATTTACTGTTTACTTTTGTTTTAATTTATTTGTTTTGATGCCATTATAATTTTAAACAACTGATTTGAAATAACTTTAGCGACAAGATTATATTTTTAAAGGAACAATTACATACCTCAAACTCCAATTTTGAATATATCTTGGTAAGCTGATGGTGTAACTGGATGATGTTTAAAACTTTATCTATTTGCTTTTAGTAAAAGCAAAATATATTTGGATAAGAATACTAGAACTTGGTTTATGTCTTAGGATTTAAATTTGACTAATTTCCCACCAGTCATAACTGGCCAATACAATCAAGCTGTTGAAGTTGATAAATTATTTAACAGGTAAATAGCAGGGGAGGAAGGCCAGCCACAACAATTTCTCTTCCAAGCCACATTCTCATCATTTTCTCTGTCCGAGCCACCTCGGAATCCTCGTCCTTCAATTATTATGTGTTTAAAAGTTTCAATTCTTAAAGAAACAATTATTTTTTAAAAATCTGGCCACGTTAGGGCATAAAATATTACTTCATGTTGGAATTTCAAACCCATGAGAATGATGTCAAACTTTATTTAGGAAAAACTTTAATCTCTTCTGCCTTCCTAATGGCGGACCTTCGTGATATAAAATAAATATCAAATCACTTGAAAAAAATAATATTGAAAGGACTCGAGGATTTTGAGGTGGCTCGGACGAGAAAATGAGGAGAAAGAGGCTTGGACGAGAAATTATTGTGGTTGGCCTTCCTCCTTTTTTCTTTGCAGTCTTGTTCAAATTGAATATTATGAAGTCTGAGTAGAAAGGAACGTATGTTCTCAAAAGTGTTATTGTACTTATTAAAAATAATTTGGAATTACCAATGCATTTTACTCTTACTACATTGGTGAATGTGAATTACTAATATGCAACCATGAAGAGAATATTATAAAGAAGTAGAGTTTTTGCCACAATTTTCTAATCTCTATATCTTTGTAACCCAATGCCGTAGACCTTAGATATTTCGAACTATAAATACTTACAGATAAAATAATCTAAGCTTGAAATATCAAAGGTTTCATCATAAGGTTGCAAAGATATTGGAATCAGAAGATTTTAGTATTGTGGCAAAAACTCAATTCCTTTATAAACTATCAATTTAAGTAAAATGGAATCTTAGTCCTCTGTTGTTGTTAAATTTTACTACAGGTGGTCCGCGTTTTTGGCAGTAAAATGTAGACACATGTTACATTTCAGTTTTACTTTCCAGGAAGCTTTCTTCAAATAAAAATGTAAAAGTAAATAAAGAAAAGCTGTCAATTGACAGCTTCTCTTTAAATCCATATTTTTTTGTATCCATACAGTTTGAAAGCGTTCTAAAAATTAAAATTGAAATAGAAAAGTCATCTTTTTTTTTGATAAATAAGAAGACCGCTGTTTTACTGCTAATTTATTGATTGCTTGAAGTAAATGATCTTTTGTTTATATTACAGCTCACTGCACCAAGGATTCTTCATTGAAGCTGGGGGGTACGATGGGGAAACATTCAGTAACACTTTGTTTTTTGGTACTACTTTATTCAATATTAATTTATAATATATCTCTTTAATTTACAATTTGAATATTTCAATTATTTTTTTTTCCTTTATAATATAATTATTTACGTGACATTGCATTTATGTATAATATTTTATTTTTAAGATCTTTTGTATAGAGAAATTAAAATTATTTATTTATGAAATGTTTTTTTTTCAAGAATTGCAAAGAAAGTGGACTGGACTTTTAGTGGAAGCCAATTCTGGTTTATTCCAAACATTGAAAGGTTTTTCCCAATATTAAAAAGCTCATTTTCTCAAAAGGAAAATATTTAAATCATAATATTTTTAGGGAAAAACAGAAATATTTGGATTTCCCCAGGGTGCTTGTCGCTCACCAGTAAACCAATAAATACAGGCAATGCAATTTTATTAAAAATTAAATAAATGAGACACATTTTATGTTTTTTGATTTTCTGAGAATAAATGATAAATTTCAATTCTTTAAGAACTTTACTTGCAGCTGTAGATTTAAATTCAGCAAAGCATGAACAATAATTAGTTTCATAGTTTAATTTTATGCACTATTTGTAGAATTTGAAACAAATGATTACTTGGGCGGAATTGTTGGAGATGAGCAGGTAAAAAAGGGCAGAAAGAATGTCCGATTCTCAATAGTGCCCTTTAAACCTTTGAGTGATAAAGAATTAGTTTATTTTAAAAAAATATTCGTAGATTTTTTTAAACTCTTCAAATGTAGTCTTTTCAATACAAATTTTAGGAAATCTACAGAAAACAGTGAGACATTACAGAAACAAATAACTAAATAAGATTACTTATTTACGTTTTATATGTCTGACATTTTCTCAACAATACTACATTCTCAGTTTGCAACTACCTTACATTGCCGGTCACTCCCTTCAAGTCAAGTCATGTTAGCTGTGTTTAATTCACATTAAACACTAACGTACTCTGAAGTTATTTTAACATCATTTTATTCTGGTATTGTATTTTGACTGGTCAATAATTCCTAGAGAGTGGGAGTATTCAAACCGAAGATAAGATTTGAAAGAGTTGTTAGAGTCCCCCCTCCCCCCTTGTATACATCAATGATACTAACATCTTCAATCATATGTTTTACAGGATTTGGCCCTGAAGTCTACTGAACAGGTAAACAAATAAATAGCTTCAATATCATTGGTTGACAAAGGGGAATGTCAGCTCAATCAAAGCTAAATAGTATTAATAGATTAAAAAATTTAAAAATAGATATTACACAACATAATATACAGGTCCAATTTTACCAAAAATCAGGAAAACATAGCTTTAGTCACAAAAAAATATGGACTGTTAAAGATTTTTTTTAACGGACTTTTTACAATATATTTTAAAGCTCTTGAAAAATGGATATAATAACATATAAGACAAAAACCTGGTAAGGGTTAAACCCATCCCAGATAGGGTTAAAAATAAAAAAATTTCATGGTGATAGTGTCAAAAATAAGATTACTAGAGCAAAAAAACTAAACAAAGTAATTTTTAATTCAAAAATAATGATTTAAAATCGTCATAAGAGCAGCTATTAATTGGTTATTAAGCATTTTCTAGTCCTTAATATCATCTCATTTTTGATTTTTTAATTAAAATTGTATAATTTAAAGGTGAAACATGTTTCTCAAGTTAAATATTTTTTAATTCTAAGAAACATTTACAAAAGGCATTTTTTGCTAAAATTAAAAAAGAAAAACGATGGTCAGTTTTTATGCCTTTAATAAATGCTGCTTAAAATAAAAAAACACAGTAGTATTTACTACTTGATTTGTATTTCATGAAATATTTCACCCTTAATCTCCAGGTTATCAATAACGATTCATCCCCTTTTATCATGAGTATATAAAACCTTTTAAAACATTGGATAAGATATTATTTTATTGCAAATAACAATAACCTAATATGCATAAATAAAGTCATTTTAAAAATTCACTCAACAATCCACAATAATGACTCTATTAAAGAAAACCTGTATTCCACTATATACATTGCTTCTGGCTCTTGGTAATCCCACAGTTCATTACTTCTCATTAGATATAGAGGGAGCTGAACTGAAGGTAAAAATAGAATGTTTGCCAGGACTTAAAATCATAAATTAATTAAAGTTTGTATTATAAAACTTGATTTCTTTATACAAGACCCAGTAATAAATACATTTTTCTTGGTGAATTAACAATGGTTTATTTACAGATAATTTACGCTTTATATATATATAAAAAGGTGTATCTGATTCGTTTATTTGAATAAGCTTAATGTCCAAGAGCATAGAGTCCACATAAATTCACATAGTTATTCAACATTTTTTATATTTTCCAAGAAATGCTCCTAAATATCTTGATAAATATTTTTAAGGTTTTAAAAACCATCCCCTGGAAATTGGTTGATATCTGGTTAGTTGGAATTGAAGCTTGTCATATGGGAGACTTTGATAAAACGGAATCTAGGTACCAAACAAAAACAATTAAGCACTTGCCGCCACAACAGTTTTTACTATTTTTTTTTTCTATTGGATACAGATCATAAAAAAAGAATTCTATTTCTATTATTCTTGTCTAGGGTTTCCATTCGCAAAACTTTTGCAGAATTAAACGCAAAATTTTTCTTTCTTTGCGCATCAGTTTTGCGCGAAAAAACAACAATTTGCGCAATCATTCGCAAAAGTCATTTTGCACAAAATTGCCCTATTCCTGTTTTTGCGAAACTCAAGTTTTGCGCAATTCTGCAACTAGAGTTTTGCGCAATTCTGCAATTTCGTAAACATCAAATGGTTGGTGACGGTGTGTGTTTCTTAGAATTCAATTCTTCCAGTGCTGGAAGGTTTTGTAAAATCCGAAACAGATTGTCCAGTAAAAAACTCCAACATGCATATTTCTTGCATTATTTTATATGAGATTAAAAAGATTTCAGAAATTTATTAAACAAATTAAAAAATATAACTCATACTTGATTAGGCAAAGCTTTTAAGGGTCACTTGAAATTATTTAATAGGATTAAAATATTGCCAAGTTTCACATTCTCTAATTTCTATTTTTAATAATTTTGGTTCCTTAATTTAAACTTTTTGTAACTGGAAGTAACCAATTGAGTGTAGTATAATCGTTATCATACTCGTAGTCGTATGTTAATATTTTTTTTTATGGTATGGAATAAATCCTCAGTTTAAAATTTTAAGCTTAGAATATCAATTTTTGACAATTTGCCTAAAAAGTTACATTTTGCGTAAAACTTGCGGTTTTGTGCAAATAGCGGAAAAAATTGCACAAAACTAAAATTTCATTCCATGCGCAACTTTCGCCAAAAATATTGCCGGTTTTGCGCAAATTGCGCAATTTTGCGCAAAAGATTTAGCCATTTCGTGGAAACCCTATTCTTGTCACCTAATTTTCCTCCTAAATTTTCCATTTTCTTCTTTTGTTTACTGCCCCTTATGACTATTTGTAAAACATGTTGCTTTTACAAAATCCTGTAGGGCTGCCGCAATTCTTTACAGGTCAAAATTAGGGTTTCCAAACAATGCACAAGGAATTGTGATGGTTGCTTACTTTTGCGCATTAGGGTTGCACGCAATTTCTATTTGACCAGTTTTGATTATATTTTAAGTATGAGGCTGATATTTCTTTCACTCTTTCACAAGTGGAAAACACAATAGAACTTATATATCTCCATTTTATTTAAACACAAACTTTTTTTTGTAATATGTCTGCCAATCAATTGAAATTATAAAAAATCGGAATGTCCTATTGTTAGTTAAATTTAAGAAGAAATTCTGATTAAATAACTATAGATTTATTTTATTTAGAAAAGATATGATTGAATTTATGGAGAAGCAAGGATATAAGCTTATTGGTACTATTGGAGTAGATGATATATTCATTAAGCCTGACAAGGTAATGATCTTCTCTGCTCGTATTTTTTTTAGAAAATCATTAACAAACGGTTACTAAAAAAATAGATAAAATCACTGTAAAAATCATAGAAAAAGAACCCTGCAAAGTTGGTCTTATCGGAATCACTTTTACTAATCATGGTGTGGAAACAGTTCGCCCAATAAAAAATCTTGCAAAATTTATTCTGACATTTTAAAAATTATATCTTTTAATTTATCAAAATTGTATAGATAAGGTTACAGTTATTCTAATTACTGCTCAATTTATGCATGAGTCGATATTCATGGTTATTTTGATCAATAAGAATGGGCTTCCCCCTTTTTGAGGAGATGTACTTAGCGACATGTAACTGTGCCGCCATGGTCAGATAAAATGTGGTTTTGCAGATTTCGAACAAAAAGTTGTGGATTTACAACAATGTGCATAATATAATTGTATATATGAGTCGACCCACTCAGATTAGATTTTTTTAACCAATCTAAAAACATTCCCACAATTCTCTTGTTTTTCCCAATCAAAATTTTAGGCAAATCGGTCCAGGAGTTTTTGAGTTATGATCGGAAATCATAACTCATTGGCAATGTATGTTTTAGAAGAATAAAAAAAATACGGTGAAAGTCTTTAATAAGTGTAGTTTGGGTGAAACATAATTTGGGCGAAACGTAATTTGGGTGAAACGTAGTATTGGGTGAAACGTTATTTTACCTAAAATTGGGTGAAACGTTTTGGGTGAAACATGATTGGGTGAAACATTATTGGGCCAACTGTTACCACACCCTAATCATTACAGATCGGTTTACAAATATCTGAAAGTGTCCAGCCTTAGAAAAAATATTGTTAGTTCTTTTTAGGTTGGAAGTTTTAAGAAATAAATGGAAATCTTGACTGACAACTAAACCGAATTAAATAATTATTTAACAGAATAGCTAAACTAATATTAGCATACAATTGTATACCTCGTCCAACCTTCTGTCTAGATATTGATCAAAAAGAATTTTTAATTTTGCTCTAAATGCTGTTTTAACTCTCAAAATGTATACTTATTACAGTTTTATGTACCGATGTGCAGGCCCATCGGAAAAATACGGAAAAAATGAATTTGCATTTTTAGAAATCAGGCATCATGGCATTACAGTTTTTTTTTCATAGATAATGTTAGATTATTTTGGACATGTATCTTAATTACCTCTTCTGTTTCGCCAAAGTAAATACATCAAATAAAGTTTTTTATCAATATAAAAAAATTGGTTAGAAGGGGAAAACAACACTCTACGGATTTGCCATTCTCTGTTGTGCGCAAATGCCACGCAAAACTCCAAAACAGAGACCAAATTTTGTAGATCCAGAAAAATAATTAAATTAGTATTTATTTAGGGATAGGTTAGGCTAAGACACTTTCTGCGCCGAGCGCTGCGGCTAGGACAGGCTAGGGGGCTGAGCACTGCTGCCGGTCTCTACGGGATATGTTGATNCCCACCAGCTGCCAGTCTCTACGCAGGCATCCCACAGATATTATTTTTCTGGATCTACAAAATTCAATCCCCCTCTCTCCACACCGGAACTCCACGGGGCACCTGCGCACAACAGAATATGGAAAATGCCAAATATAGCCTAAGTCCCTTTAATATTGTTTGGTTTCACTACTAACTTATTCATTTTTTAGATATCTGTAACTGAGGATACTATTGTCTACCTGAAGTCACTTATGATAAAAGAACATTTTAATATTGAGGACCAAAATCTTTGAAATAGGTTTATCATTATATTTGCATTTCATAAACATTCAATCTTGAATTGGTATCTATTCAAGTTGGTTGAAAATGGCATGTTAAATTTATGAGGCCAACATTGTTGTGTTTAAAAGATTTATGAAAATTTGATATTTACACCAATATTGATAGACGTTAGTTACTTTTCCAAAGGATTTTTCCTGAACGGCAACTTACAAGGATATTTTCCATAGTTGCAACTTTCCTAATATGCAATTTCCTAGGTTGCATCTTCATCAAGTCATTCCTAGCTTAAGCAATCAACCCCTTAACCTATTATAGCAACAACCATCAACCCCTATCCCATCCTAGCCAGAGTGCTTGGCCCCATTGAAACCTGCGTGCCCTTAGAGGGCCTAACGATACAGCATTGAAATTTTGCATGCAGGCGCGCAAATACAACAAAATGTATTAAACTTTGCATGTAGGTGCGTAATTACAACATAATTTAGAATCTAAAATTTCTAAGCTGTAGGTCATATTGTTTATATGAGTTATTAGGGATTGAATTTGAGGAGATAGAATGTACAAAAGCCTTTGGAAAGCTACTGCTTGGGAAATTGAAAATTTGGGAATTGCCCATGGGAAAATGCAGTTTGGAACAAACCTAACACCTATTGATACTGCATTGTGATTTTATAAAAATAATTGTAAACTGTTTTTGCTAAACCAAAAGTATTGAAACTCTTACTTTACTTGCATCTAAAAGCTATGCTTATTCATTTCTATAAATACATACATTTTTTTATACAACATTAATACAAAATCTATAAGTTGGCAAACCAGTGTTAAAAAGAAAATAATAAATAGCAAGTGAATTAATCTTTTTGGAAAATTATACCTAACTTATTATTGTTTTCAAAATTATTTGTCTATGCATATTGTTTATTTTGAATCAATATTTTGCTTTTCTTTTACTTCAAAAATATATTTCCACAAAATTGTACTCAACTGCTTTGATCTTGATTAAATTTGTGTTTGTTTAAAAATAATTTCTTTAAATTTAAGACGAGAACAAAAAAAGGAAAAATTAGAATTGCGGTAAAAAAAAAATCTATTTTCCCAATTATAGAAATGATAACATTTCCCACTCCAAGGTACATTATATAGTAAAATATGGAAGTAAGCATATATAATCAAAACGGAAACAAATAAAGATGGAAATTGTTTATAATTGCAAAATGCTTGAATTCACAACCCCATAATATTCCCATTCAAATATATAAATTCATGAATTACGCATTTTGACACTTTTCTCAAACTTTTTTCTCACATTGCATTTTATATTTATTTTGTTTTGAAATGTAAGGCAAAGAATCCTTAAAGTCCAAAACATTTACAAAAAAGCCAAGCCGTTAAGTTGTATTTGACTTGGAATAAATAAGAAACTTTTACCTAACTGGACTACAAAATTGCAGACGGAATCTTATTTTGACATCTCTCATCTTTATCTAAGCATTTTCTCAAGGATTCTACTCTGATCTGTCTGCTGGCTAGCTAGTATAGAATATTCTACTCTGATCTGTCTGCTGGCTAGCTAGTATAGAATATTCTACTCTGATCTGTCTGCTGGCTAGCTAGTATAGAATATTCTTTTGAATCTTATTAATCCCTCTTGAGGTGCTCTAGCTATTTGTCTAAAATATCTCTTTTGCTTCATATAGTCTATCAGGCTCATCATCCTCACTATCATTAAACTTATCAAGCCATTTATCTATGTTCTTAATTAAAGTTTGACAGTCCTTAAGAGCTTTCTCATATTTTTCATTAAAAATAGGTGCCTGCCAATTCGAAAAAAAACATTACGGGATCTTTCCCTACTATTATCATCAATCCCGGCCCTTTTTAAACAATTTTAAAATAAGAGTGTATCATGGAAAATCATTACGTTTTGAATATTTCGTCAACTCTCAACGAATCTGCATAAAATAAAGAAGATTCCAGAATTAAAATCTGTCCTACCTCAACGTTCATGGTGACACAGGTCTCATTACTCCGGGTTTGACTGCAACTAGATGAACTTCATCCTCATTGTGCTGAAATAAACTTAACATACAAAAAGACGTTACAATACTTAAAATCATCATCGTTCATACTTAATATCACCTATACAACAAATGCATTCTACGTCCATCAAGACCCCTTATACATCCAATATCTTCTTACTATAGTGCTCCTCCGTCCTCTGAACAAGTGGTGAACCTAAGCATATATCGTTTAATTCTGAATTGAACCGGGACTTAAAGAACACTATCTAAATACATCCGCGCATGTGTGTATGCTCTTGTGCTCTTCTTTTAGAATCTGCAAACATTTTTGCAAATTTGCAAAAATTTAATTTTTTATCGCAAAATCCAGTTATGTAGTAAAAATGTTTGCAAAAAAAATTTGTCCAAAAAATGAAAAATTATACATTTTTGAAAAGCCCTTGACCTTGCCATTTCAAATATGCAAAAAATTTTGCAAAATTTAAATAACCTGATATTTAATCAAGAAAAACTAAAAATGTGCAAATTTCCTTTGACAGTTTGTTTGCAAAACATTTGCAATTTTTTTGCAAAACAATTGTGCAATTCGTTTCCTTATGTCAAAGACTTTCCAAGCAGCTAAATTTTATCAAAATCTGACAAGTGGAAGTGGGTCAAAACAAAGATTTAGTTTGTTACAGGAAAAAGTAGTCATTCAGGCAGTGTGCCTGAGGACTCAGGCAGTTAGTATTAAAGCCCGGTTTTAGGCCTTAAGGGAGGGCTTTGGGTATGTAGGAAAATTCAGAAAATTTCAACAGCCTCAGACNTGTTCCCCCCCCCCCCCAGCAGGAATAGGGTTAAAACTCTCTCGAAAATATCTATCAATACTAGAACATTTACAAAATGAAATAATATCAAACTGGGTCTGGGATCTGAGCTGCGATCAGCTGAAACTTCCAACTCCACTTTTGTCTGCAAACGGTTTGGTTTGGCTCGGATACTCTTTCAGTAACATACAGAGACTCAAAGAGAAGCTCAGTAATGTACAGCCAACATATCATAGAATCAAGGAGCAGCTCGGTGATCTACAGCTAACATAACTGTAGGAGCAGCTGGATTTGGAAGACATTAGAAGCAGCTACAGTACAGGGTGTCCCAATAAACATGGGAATTCAGTGATGAATTCGATATCGTCTTTTCAAATAATTCTTTGATTTAGTTTAGTGATACCTACTGAGAAGCTGTAATCTGTAAGAGTTTCGTCTGCTATGTTCACATTTTGTTTGTTTATGTTTTGACTGCATACGGTTGTACTTAATAAAACAAGAAAATTGCAGAATACAAACAGAGTAAACTTGTCCGTCTTCACTGTTCATCTTGCAGAGACATTATAGACACATCTTTACAGCCATTTACCGTTTTCATAAATTAAACTCTAGCAGACATAATAATATTATGGCTTTTGAAATTAGGTATTACAATGCTAATTCAGTACAAAGACGATATCGAATTCGTGACTGAATTCCCATGTTTTTTGGGACACCCTGTACCATCCAGGATTACAGTATAGGAGATACTGAACTGGAGCAGCTGAACGAGATATCAAATTGAGATTGCCTAGCTAGATACTAAACAGGAGCAGCTAAACGAGATATCGAGTGGAGGGAGCTGCCTAGTTAGATACAGAACAGGAGTTGAGGGAGCTGCTTAATTACACCAGAGAATTATGAATATCTAAACAAAATGTTATGAGACAGAATTGCAATGTAAAAAAACCAGAAAGGGACAGTTTATGAAATTGGTACTGGGATCGAAAGTGAAACCTTTGCATTAACCCTTATTGGAGAGGGGGGGAGTCCAGAATTCCTCAACGAGTAACCACCGCCACCCAAATGTGTTTTGCGGCAAGCGCGCTCCTCAATTGGTAATCTCCACCACCTCAATTGGTAATCAGCCAAAATAAGCGTAACATTAAATCAGTTATTTCTTAGAAATAAGACCATATTGACCTCTGTTAATGGCCCTATGGTGTACAATATTGTTAAAGCTTTCTTTATTGCTCCTTAGTTTCAAAAATAAATACCCCCCCTCTATTGGAAGAGGGGCAAACGGTGGACCTTGACGGCCCTAGGATTTAAAATTGTAATTTGAATTGTGTTAAAAGTGCATTAAATTCAAATCACAGAAAACAAAATTTTACGGTGATTACTAATTGAGGTGGTGGAGATTACCAATTGAGGAGCGCGCTTGCCGCAAAACACATTTGCTTGGCGGTGATTACTCGTTGAGGAACTCTGGACTCCCCCCTTCTATTGGAAGAGGGGCAAACGGTGGACCTTGACGTCCCTAGGATTTATAATTGTAAATTGAATGAGATAAAGATTTCAACTTTAATCATTTATAAGTACAATTTTTCTTAATTGTGAATTATTTCATAAATTAAACTTTTTCTTTTGTGTTGTGAAAAAGTTATTTTTCATCAAGATAAAGAGGGTCTTACAGTGGATTATGATAATGAAAATATATTGGTAGATTTCCTTGCCTGTTTTTTATCCGAGCCCGTCTTTTCATGTCGTATAATCCTATACAACTTCTTATATAAACCTTGGCACAGCTAAATATTTTACATTCAGACCTAAATGGGGAAAAGGCAAGGATCAAGTTTAAATCTTAATAAACATTTGAAACTGTCTGTGGATTGCCATTTTGTAAATCAAATATTTTACATTATAACTTTGTTATAAAAAGCATTTTACTGGAAATAAATTCGAATTAAAATTTTGATAACGACAAACATTTCCTTTTAAACGTTGAGCAACTTGGGTAAAATTAGTCTAATTTCAAAGTATTTCCTTATTCTTGAATCCATGGTTCCAGAAAAGAACGGCTTCCTTCAATATCATGGCAGCTGGTTTTTCTTCTCTTCAATCTACTTACTTTATCAAGGTTAATCTTAGAACATTTTTCAGGGCAAAGAAACAGATTTTTTGCCAGACACTCGATCAGATTTTGTTCATGTCTATATCTTTTCAACCTGATGTAGTAAACCTTAGATATTTTTAATCATGTTACAGTGAGACACCCATAAAACATGGAATAGAAAGACGACTTTGGTTTCTGGTTATGACTGTAGTACAATCTTTGATTGGAAAACATCACATCAGAAAGATATTATAGGTCAGAAAATGCTATGGTCGCAAAGGTCGAATGAGCAGCCATAAAGATGTTTAAGATATTTAGGATTTAAAATAAATCACAATTGAAATGTTATACAGTCTCTGTAAGGGTAATGTATATTTTTAATCTTTTTCAAGATAATTTTCCATAACGAATTTTGTTTTCACATTTGACTAAAGATTAAATTTAAATTAATTTCAAACTATGAGTGTTCACTTTCAATTTTTGTATTTTTTCATCTGGACAAACATCTGATCTAGTAGTCTGAAGTCTCCTGTAAATGCAATAAAGAATTTTTCAATTTTCAATTTTGAAAAATATATGATTTATGAATTTCGTCCCTCAGAGGAGTGCCAAATCCAGAAAACTTGACCAAGGATCTAGATGAAACACAAGGTAAGCAAAACATAAAAGTTCATATAATCTCTATTCTTCTGAAGAGATAAACATCAAACATTTATTTAATTCGAGCATTGAAGTTTCCGTTAAATCCTAAGTTTTCAACCTAAAATGAACTACTTCTTGCTTAGAAAACAAAAGTTACACATCCTAATGCATATTCTAATGTAAAGGAATTGAGTCTTTGCCACAAACTATATTTTTCTAATCCCTATATCTTTGCAATCCAATGTCGTATAGATATGTCAAACTATGAATTCTTTTAAATCAAATAATCTGAAATATTATAAAGGTTTACACCATCAGGTTGCAAAGAAATAGGAATTAAAAAGCAAAGATTCAATTCCATAATCCTGATCTACTGAGGGATTTTTTATATCTAATATTAAATTCTATCTAGATTTGAAAAGAGAACCGGTTCCCGAGTAGAATCTTAGAGTCGGGAACCTAGTCTTAGGCGCCGGGCCGACCTCCTCCGACCCTCTGTTTTTGGAAAAAAATATCAAATTTCACCAAATATATGTAATATGAGCAAAAACCATTAAAATATTTGAGCATTCCTCTCCCCATCCCTTTCTTCAAGCACTTTTCGGTCTAAAAACGACTCTTTTATTAGTACTAAAACAGAGTCGGACCGGCGCCAGTTTTTGGGGTCGTGCGGGTCGTTTTCAGACTCTAAAACAGGGTCGTTTGTTCTATGCGGGTTTTTGATGAAAGAATGATTGATAAAGATAATCCAAGACCAATACTGACTCAAATGTAGCTATAACATTTAACTATTGAGTTGTGAACTTTTGTGCTGAAAACTTAAGAATGGTGGATATCAAGATTAATGCTTAAACTCCTGGTTTTACTAAACCCGAGATTATTTTAATACGTATTCGATATCCAAGAAAGAAGTTCGAAATTCAGCCAATCAGCATGTCATGTTAAGATGTACTCTTTAACTTTTGAAAAACTGGTTTTATTTCTGGCGTTGATGGTGTCATATCAATTGAACTAAACATCTATTGAACCAACGTAAGTTTTGGATTACAATGGTCCTAAAATGTAATAAAATATGTTTTTTTTTAAGAAGTTCATATTGACATGGTAAAATTTATATTTGTTTAAATTGTTAAAAAGCCGGCTTGTGAACAGCTGATTTGAATTCAATCGGATATTAGTCCAATTGATATAGCATTGTATCTGTAATTGTTATCAAACGTAACTTTATACAGTATAGGGATATCCAAAAAAGAGGATTAAGAAGAAAATAAAAAATGTGTAAATTGGATACTCAGATTAAGCGATCGTGATTCTCATTGGTTGAACTGACAATGCCCGGGCTTCTGATTGGCTGTCCGTTTGCCACAGACATTACAATTCGTTGGATATCGAATGATGATTAAATTAATCTGCAGATTAACATAAGATGGATATCAAGCATTGATCTTAATATCCACGATACAAAAGTTCCCATCTAATGGAAAAATCCTATTTAGGATGTCCTCAGTTCTAGACATGTTGAGTATTTAATGATTTTAACAAGTAACTAAAATATGAAGGATTTCTATTATTTAGAGAAAATTTTGCCAATTCGGTTTTCTTTCTCAGAAACCGAGCTTTATTCCATGATATCGTTTTGAATGGTTCAGAAGGACCAACAAGCAAGCAACCCTTGCTCCCTTAAAATTTCAACATGCTCAGATTGCAATGTCCGACGCACAACGGTACCTTAAAATCTGTGTCTGACCAAGTATGCATTAAATATTAATGTAGAATCTAACACTTTTTACCTAGAAAAATTAATCGTACATTGACATCGTTGCTCTTACGCTTTCTGTCCCTTCAAAACAAATTTTCCTGCAGCAACAAGACCAAATTTCCATTACACCACAAATCCTCTTCTGGAATTTTATGTTTGGGGCTAAACAGGAAGGACATAAATCGTTTAAAGACTAGGGTTTACAAAGATTGGGATTTATCCAAAAAAATATCTGTTAAAAAAGACACATGACCCAATTTACATAACTAAAAGTTCATATTTTAGAAACTTACAAAATGAATACTTTTATAGTTAAGATTAGATTATTAAAATTTACTGGATCTAAGGACACCCTGCATAATTTGTTTATTTATAAAACTGATCTGTAATTGTTCCAAGGTCGTTGATGTCTCCGGAAAAGAAATCGATAAAATGGCAGACACAAAATGTGGATTTGCCTGAAGGATCAGTTAAAGACCTCTTCACTGTCAGCGAAAAATCATCTCTACAATTTGATTTAAGAAGTCTGGGCAGGATTAAAAAGTCTGTTAGTCTATATAAAAACCCGGAAACTACTAAGTATTATGGACAGAAAAAAAGTAGATCTGAACAACAAGAAATTTCGGGTTATCCTGGACGTTTTAACTTTGAACTTCCTCGAAAAAGATCTAATAGTTCAGATAACTTAGAGCTATATCAATTGGGATCCTTTAGTTTTGGACTTCCAGGAAAAAGATATAAAAGAGAACGAACTAGAAAAATTTGGAAGGTTTAGTTTTGGAATACCAGGAAAGAGAACTTCAGAACTTCAAAATCAGTCTAAAAATTCAGGAGCGAGGGATTTGGAGTCGAAAAAAAAATATCTTGAAAACATGGACTTTGAACTAGCCAAGAGAAAGTTTCCTAATGAAGTAGAGAACAACATCAACATTCCTATAGGTTCAAAATTTGGTCAACCTAAAAGCAATCAGAAATCTTGTGAGAATTTAATGACAAAAATTGCTTTTCTCTTGAAAGAGGCGCAATTTTATTCCAAAAGACCATGGATAAAAGAGATTGGACGCGTTGGTAAAAGAGACCCAAATTTAGTATACAAAGTGACAGGAGATACAACTAACATCAGCAACCCTCTAGAATTAAAACAGGAATCAAGGACAAAAAAACCTAAGTATTCTAGGGTTCAACCCTTTTTCAGGTGAATGACGATTTCCTTTTTTTCAGGGGCGCTTTGTCATTCTATCATTTTCTAAATAAACATACTCAGTATTTGCGAAAAAAAATTAAACAGTTTAATTAGTTCCCGAAAACCTCCCACTAATGTCGCCACATGCATTGCTTTTGTGGCGCATTTGTTTTTTTATTTTTATTTGGAAGTTCAAAATATAAATGAGCGCTCCTACGATAACTTTTCATGCTTAGATCAGTAGAGAAAGAGATGGGGGGGGGGGAGGGGAGATAGGGAGGATAAATTAAAGGATGTATTTATTTTTCTTTTTGTTCTTTCTATCTATTTATTTTTAGCTTCATATCATATTTCATTAAATATTAACACATTCTTAAGATGGACGCCTTATCAAGGCAAGAAAGTGGTTGAAGGCCCCCTGGAAGTCAGGCAGGTTCTATACGGGGCAGCTTGTTTTTTTTTTTTACCGAGGCATCATTTTCAGAAGCGAGTCTACTTCTCAGTGTTAAATCCGACAATATTTTTACAGTTAAAAGAAGTTATTTTTAATGAAATTTTGGCTTGAACTTCGAATAGAAATAAAATATGTGGTAAAGATTTAATTTATCCCATACCCCCTTTCATTTTTCACGAACACTCCCTTTATATTATATTTTAGAGTAATGAGGAGCTTGAATCAAGTGTCTGGTGCTGGTAAGTTTGGATTTAATATAAAGTACTTTAGTCATAACCAGAAAATTAAATAGGAAGACGACATTTTAGCAATATTTAAGTTTCTTTTTTACATCTTAACTAGACAGTAATTAAATAAATAATTTAGTGAAATGGGACTGTTAACACTGCACAATTGCTGAGTCTCATTGGACTTTTAAAAGTTATACTTGTTTTTTGGTTCTCACAAAGCGCTTTGCTTCCTTCTTTCTTGTATTAATTAAACTTTAAAATAATTGCTCATCTATCTCAGAGACCTGATTTGTCGTACAATATGAGATAATAATAATAATAAAAAATTAATCGGATTTTTTTTAATTCCGGATTTTTAATTTTTTTAAAGGGAGTGGCCAGCAATGAAAAGCATTTGAACTGAGAGTGCAGAACTGTGGACTTTTTTTAGGATGGGACATATATAACATTTTAATGATGTATAATTACTGAGTTTTAGCGCAAAGTCGACGTTCAAAGTTAGTTATCTATTTGGGTGGTTACGTTTTGAGAATCGATTTTTTTCAAAATTATTAAATAACGACGACAAAAATGTAAAAATAATTCAACATTTAACTAATTAGATTGAATTAACTAATTAGATGTTTAGGAACATATTTCTCAATCGAAATTTTTCAATAAGTCAATGTTTAAATCAATTATTTCTTTTCCATCATTATACTGAACTTCTTACTCTTTACGAATTTGTTCGTAGGTTTCTTCAAATTCTTCAAATGTCGTCTTTTCAATAAAAATTCATGGAAATCTACAGAAAACTTTTTGTGTACAATGAGATATTAAAGAAACAAGTAACTGAATAAGATTACTTATTTTGATTATAAAAACCATTTTTATTTTCTCAACCTGTTCCTAAACAACTAATTGGGTTACTTTATCATTTTTGTTCCAATTTTGTCGTCGTTACTTAGTTATTTTTAAAAAATCGATTCTCAAGAAGTTACCACCCAAAGTAATGCCTTTGCGCTCAAACTCCGTAATTATTAATCATTAAAACGTTTTAGATGTCTCAAATGAATCCTAAAAATGTCTCAACCATTCTATATTCTTAGTTCAACTACAATACATTGCCGGTCACTCACTTCAAATCGTTTTTTTTGTATTCTGACCAACCAACCTTCCATATGAGATACCACTAACAAGTTTTGTCGTTTAATTGACAAAAACAAACCAACAGACAAAGAAACTAAAAACAAGACACGACAAATGATATAAATTAAAATAATATAATAATTTGAAAGCAGGAGAACACAGCTTTAAAAATAAGGAAAAGTATCATCATGAAGCACAAAGGTACATTTTGATTTGATAAAAATTGTTTTTATTAATTTAGAAAATTGAAATATGAAAGTTTTTAATTATAGATATTCAATATTGAACATATGATTACTGTGTCACTTAATCACCACTTTAAAGGGACTGTACACTGTAAAATTTGAGATTGTATATTTTATTCAATATTTCGGAATCGCGCGATCACAACAATAATATTGGATAAATTTTACCTAAATTTTGAATAATTTTGTTTACCAATTAGAATCCAATAGGACAATAATATTCCTATTTATTGAATATTTAATTCAAAACTTTGGAATAAAATACGTAAATAATCAGGCGTTGACAATGCGAGTGATTTTTTATTTGTCAATAAATCAATGTTTGAATCAATTCCTTTTCCATCATTATAATGAACTTCTTATTCTTTACGAATTTGTTCGTAGATTTCTTCAAATTCTTCAAATGTCGTCCTTTCAATAAAAATTCATGGAAAACGTTTTACTTTAGAATTTTTGTTCCAATTTTGTCGTCGTTATTTAGTTATTTTTAAAAAATCGATTCTCAAGACGTTGCCACCCAAATGAATGCTTTTGCGCTCAAACTCCGTAATTATTAATCATTAAAACGTTTTAGATGTCTCAAATGAATCCTAAAAAATGTCTCTACAATTCTACATTCTTAGTTTAACTACCATACATTGACGGTCACTCCCTTTAAATCGAAATTTTCTTTAAGCAAATTTTTGTATTCTGACCAACCAACCTTCCATATGAGATACCACTAACAAGTTTTGTCGTTCATTCGACAAAACAAACCAACAGACAAAGAAACTAAAAACAAGACACGACAAATGATATAAATTAAAATAATATAATAATTTGAAAGCAGGAGAACACAGCTTTAAAAATAAGGAAAAGTATCATCATGAAACACAAAGGTACATTTTGATTTGCTAAAAATTGTTTTTATTAACTTAGAAAATTAAAATATTAAAGTTTTTAATTATAGATATTCAATATTGGACACATGATTACTGTGTCAGTTAATGACCCTTAAAAGGGACTGTAATCCTCTATGCCAAGATGGCAATGGCCGATTTACATCGGTACCCTGAAAAACTTTGTCTGATCATGTATTTATTAGATATTAATGTTTTTATTTCTTTAACCTGTTTATTTTCATTTGCGAAAAGTGACCTGAGCATTTTTTGTTTATAAAAAGTAATGGAGAAGCTCACAGAAAAAAACACTTTCCGATTCAGAAAAACGACGATATCTTCCATATTTTTGATCAGATTAAGGTTTAAAGGGTACCTTTGGGAATCAGGTATTGTTATCTTTAATGCACAGAGGGTCACTTGAAATTGTGCACACAGTCCCTTTACCTTTATATAGATGTTCTTGTGCTGTTTTTTATGTTTACAAAGTTTATAACTAATTGGATACTTTCAGTTTCTTATAAAAATAATTTACAAAACAAATTATGCAATAATCTAATAATCTTTTTGATATCTTAGATCGAACAATTCAGTGGAAAATGATGAAAACAAGAAAACACCAATAACATTAAATAGTTGGGAGGAACCGGAATCTATAACTTCGACTCAACCAATTGAAACTCAGACCAAACTGTTAAAATTAGTTTTTAACGAAATAACAAACTTTTTGAAGGAGGAAATTATCAAAGATGCCGAAGATGACGAAGATGACGAAGAAATGAAAATTAAGAAAAATTCTTTAATAAGCAATCGGTGGGGTAAAAGATCCAACAATCTCATTTTCTCAGAGACAAAGCAAGAAAAGCAAGTTCTTCCTAAGCGATCCGTAGGTAAAAGATCCAACAATCTCATTTTCTCAGAGACAAAGCAAGAAAAGCAAGTTCTTCCTAAGCGATCCGTAGTGGGATTAAACCAATGGGGTAGGAAATAAACTATTCATTAATGTCATTTTTAAATGTTTGCATTTAAGTTTCTAAAGAGGCTGGATAACTTATCTAAATGTTTGATTATATATATATTTGGTTTGTATGATGTAATGTGACCAATATGAAATAAAATAACCCTCAGAAGATTTTTTATTGTGCAGAGTGAAGATACAGGGTTACCCACAAAGGACAAGACAGTAAAGACGACCTGAAAGGCATAAAACGTGACGATTCAGGTTAAGTTGTGTATTCTGCCTGAGATAAAGTATATCTAATAGCTTACTAATGATTTGTCAAGGAAACAGACAAGTTCACAGTTGCAGGGAATCGTAAATGTAAAGAAACAGATAGTATAAGTTCCGTACAGTCTTCTCTGAAGTATCGTCCTTTGAGGGTAACCCTGAATTATGTTACTGGGTATTAATAGCTTAACATTTTGATTTTCATAATTACTTGAATATTTTGAAAGTGATGAGCTAAACTCAGTTTCAAATAATTTGAATAGTTTTACTTGTACAAAGCCTTTTAGGAAAGTTTAACAAACCTAAACATTTTAGTACCAATTTTCCAGGAAATTTCTTAAAAAAAAGAAACTTTTAGGCCAAAAATTAAAGAAAAAAACGGCACTGCTTTTCCTTTTCATCATATTTGTTTAGATGATAAAGTATCTCACAAACATAGATAAATTAGAATAGCTTGTTTATGCACACTAAAAAACTGAAAACAGGGAATAAGAATAAAGGGAAGGGAAATGGCGGTGGTCTGGCATGAGAAAGCCAGTCGCACTGCTTTGCAGACGAGTTCGTTATCACATACGCAAACTCTTTTGGTACAGACACACATGACTACATGTCAAGGAAATTGCAGAACAATGTCGTCAATTATAATTAAGCTTGAATAACAAGTAGTTAATTGTAAACTTTAAGCAAATTATATTCTTTGCCTAGAAATTTGGCTTATTGTGTTGACCAAGGTTATAAATGCAAGGAAAGTTAATTGCGGTTGCGTATACTCTGTGTACATATTGAAACCAGTTCTCTCTGTGCAGAATTTGTAAACATGACTAGATGCATCAGTATTCGTTTAGTATCCGAGGAGGATAAAAGCATTGAATTCAGAAAATTTTGATAATTCACATAATAGTTTCCTATGACCAGAATATTTCATTGATTTTTTATGTGAAAGATGGATCCCATTTCAGGCTGTGACATCCGTCTTGTGTTTGCATACCGCCCAGAAACAGTACACCGCAGAATAAGAAATATTTGTCTGATGTACAATTACCGCGTATACAATAACATATTCTGAATATTTCTTATACAAATGGAGTGCCCGTCTGACAGAGACATGGGAATCGTGGAGATCAACTAAAAGGCAGCATAAATTCCGCAAACTCGTTTAGTTGTCTCATCCTTTGGGGGTATCTCGGTATCATAAACATAAGTACTTAATCAAGTGACAAAATTTGTCTTTGTAATCCGCGAAAATATAAAGTTGTATCGTAGAATTCTAGAATCAGCTGATTGAGGATTTGAAATCCTGAAAATATTTTCTAACTCCTGACCATGTTCAGGGTCAACTGTCAATTGGTTTCCTTCATAGTTCATCATCTTCATTTAATAGGATGGGTAAGGACGCATGGGGTTTAGCTTCAGGTTTTCATTTCTAGATGTGTAATCCCGAGTTCTATAGGAAAGTTAAACACTAAGATCAAGTTAAAAAGTTTACATTTTTCTAACATTCCTAGATGTGGAAGGGGGAGGGGGGGGGGGGGGTTAAACTCTGGTCATGAACCAATTGGAATTGAAATTAGAATTGAAAATAATTTTTGAGTCATACTTCTATAAAGTGTTTACATGTTTAGCAAACTGCATGTCTAAATAAGTATCTAATCAAGATTTGGGAAAACATAATAAAAGGTTTTCTTATTAATTTAAAATAAAAATTTGGTGAGAAAAAAACATGAACGAGCACTACGTAATAAATGACTACGTGTTATTCTAGAATTGAGTCTAACGGTTTAAATGGGCAAGCCCTAATCAAAACAAACTAGGCTTTGTGAGCACTACTTGCCCGCTGTATGCAAATATTTTCCGCTTGCTTTAAAGAACACTTTACTTTTTACAATTTAAATCTAAAACCCCGCAGAAAAATATTAATATTAGAAAGGATTGATTTTGATCATAGACTGTGGTGATTTAAATCATAAGATAGTTTCGTTATCTATTTATTTAAAGTAGTAATCTCTGTTAGGATGTCTGTATGTCCGATCATAACTCAGAAGCTTTTAAAACCATTTGACTGAGAAACTCGGTAGAACCTAGTTAGTTTCAAGGCAATGCTGGGTTCCCACGCTAGTACAAGAAACAGTGTTTTTCAATCGATATTAGCTTTTTCAATGTTTATCGAATACAACCACCCTAGTCCCACCCAACCAACATATTTACTTAAATGCATTATAAAGTGCCTGTGGGTAAACGTATTTCATTTATGAACCCAAGAAATATATATGCATAGTTCCTTGCATCAACCCGTGTACACTATAATTTAGGCTGGTTTACGGTCTGTTAACGAACTTTAGTTTTACAAAATTATAAACGTCAAAATTTAAGAACGCAAATTAAACGATCGTTTTATTGTTTCTTTAACACGGATTGACACAGGATGGCTAATTTGTATGCTTGACCAAAAACCAAACCTGAACAAAAATAATCATTTCTAGAATGTAAAGCCACTGTTGTGGGGCTAGCTGCAGCATGGGGACGATTGTGAAAATAAAAAGATTTCCGTTCAGGATCGGAAAAGTGGTTTAGATTCAATATATCAATGCACTGAACGATAAGAATTTAGTTAAAAACAAACGCTCAAATATTTGGCCCCTAAGGGCTGGGCATTGTTCCTTTTACTATATGCAAAACTCGTTAACGAGCAAAAATAACCGTTCATGAAAAAAGAACAAGCATGTTCATTTATTAAAATAATAGATATATTGGATTGGCCACATTCAGACTTTTTATAGGTCTTTGTTAACAGTTAGTTAAACAAAGCTAACCCTAACCAACTTTTAGGTCGCTTGTTTGTTCTATAACCTCAGGACTGAACGATCAGTTCGTTCTTTTCCTTTCTTCCTTAAAGGTGTCGTTCTTTAACGATATCAATTTTATGAACGGTGTTAATAGAAGATAATTCAGAAAACATCAATGGCACCAGCCGTTATCCAGCTGTTAACTAGTCACGTGATACAGACGGAAATCACGTGACCAGTATACTGCACTGCCATTGGATGAAGTTCTGGTGACGTAATGTGGACTATACGGACTATGGGAAATAATATTTTCAATTATATCTATAAAAAATGCAAAATAACAATTAAAAATTATAACAGGAGCAAACCTGAGATTCTTAGCCCCAACTGTGGGATGTAATCGTTTTCAGATTGGTTGCGTATTTGCTAAATATGATAAGTTTAAACCTAAAACTTTTATACAAAATTGTATATATATGAATTTTCATATAATTTTGACACAGTTTTATAACTATTTCTCGAGACAGGAACATCAGATAGATGTCTTATATGTATCGTTCAACTCCTGAGATTCTCATCCTATTCCCCCTTTCATTTTTCCTTTACAGTCCCTTTATGGATGCATTTTATAAATAACAGCGACATTCTTTAATTTGTCTGCTTAAAACTGCATGACACTTAGAGAAATAGGTTTTCGTTTAATTTTCAAAAAGAACAGAAGAAAAAAATTAAAACAAAGTTTTTTAATTGTTTCATGCATGAAAGATAACAACATTTTCAAATGGTATATATTAGTTTATTAGTTCTTTCACATTTTCTAGCCGGTTTTATGAACAGCCTTTTTGTTCATTACAATTTCTTTTGTTATAAAAATTGTTTAAGATGACCAAGAGAATAAATAAAAAAATCTGAAGTGATATAGTTAGATCGTTCGAAAAAGAGGGATATGAACTCTTAATCCTTGTAAGTTGTTTAACCTTTATATTAGTAGTATTTCTTTAAGATGCCCCGAACAAATTTGTTACAGGGTGTCCCAATAAACATGGAATTAAATAACGACTTCTAAATCGTTTTTGTTCTGTGGGGGATTATTTTGTAAACATTCTTTTGTAGTATAACATTTAAACAATAGTCCTCCTTAAATGTATTTAATTTAAATGTTTTGTTATCATTATTAAAATTAGTGGAAAAAATAATCAAAACAACCAAGAGCTATTTTCCACTTAATTGCTTTATACTTGTACTGTTAAAATAATCATCAATTTGTAATTGTAAACTCGTTCTGTACACAGATACATGTATTTAAGCAATAAACTTTATCTTATCTATCTTATCTTATCTAACCAAAACTGCTAATCTCGGGATTTCCAAAATGCGGTCTACTAATTTTACCTCCAGAATTGACGGAGATATTAGGAAATGTGTCTAGAATGCAGTATATCAACAAAACTGTTAAAATGTTTAATATCTCGGTCAATTTTAAAGACACAAAAATGGTAGACCACATTATGGAAAGCTCATTAGATTTTCAATCTTTTTGATGCACTTAATGTCATTTATAAAAATCGGAAATCAAAAACGATATTTAAGTCGCATGTTTATTGTGAAACCCTGTAGTATAAAGCTGTTATGACAATAAAAACAAAGTGCAAAAGTATAATTTGTAACTTATAAAGAAAGTAAAGAAAAGAGACGATTATCGTTCTTCGGTTTTCTGATTACCGCCGTATAAACGTTTAACTGTAAGTTTGGTTCAACGTTAGGAATTCTCATTACAATAGAAACATCACCCAGGGCTACTCACGCAGCTCTAATTTGATTGAAGCTGGGGCATTGCTGAGATTCTTATTCATTTTGAGTAGGGCTATCCACCCAACATTAAATTTTTAAGAGATTTTTTCTCTTTCAAGTTAAATCAGTCATGAAAATTGATGCAAATTTTTACAACAGTCTGGATCTTTGTGCATAAAGTTCTCAGATTCGTCAATTTAATTGAAATTGGATGAATCAACATCCACGTAAGATGAATATATATCTGCTGAATGAACTATCATGTAAGATGAATAGTAGTCTGATAAATGAACTACCACGTAAGATGAATATATGTCTGCTGAATGAACTATCATGTAAGATGAATAGTTGTCTGATAAATAAACTATTATGTAGGATGAATAGTTGTCTGTCTGATGAATGAACTTTCATGTAAGATGAATAGTTGTCTGTCTGATGAATGAAATACCATGTAAGATGAATACTTGTCTGATGAATGAACTACCATGTAAGATAAATAGTTGTCTGATGAATGAACTATTATGTAGGATGAATAGTTGTCTGTCTGATGAATGAACTTTCATGTAAGATGAATAGTTGTCTGTCTGATGAATGAAATACCATGGAAGATGAATAGTTGCCTGATGAATGAACTACCATGTAAAATGAATATATGTCTGCTGAATGAACTATCATGTAAGATTAATATATATGTCTGCTGAATTAACTATCATGTAAGATGAATACTTGTCTGATGAATGAACTATCATGTAATATGAATAATTGGTTGATGAATGAACTATCATGTAAGATGAGTACTTGTCTGATGAATGAACTTCCATGTAAGAAGAATAGTTGTCTGATGAATGAACTACCATGTAAGATGAATTCTTGTCTGATGAATGAAATACCATGGAAGATGAATAGTTGCCTGATGAATGAACTACCATGTAAAATGAATATATGTCTGCTGAATGAACTACCGTGTAAAATGAATAGTTGTCTGATGAATGAAATACCAGGTGAGATGAATAGTTGTCTGATGAATAAACTATCATGTAGGATGAATAGCTGTCTGATGAATGAACTATCATGTAGGATGAATAGCTGTCTGATGAATGGTCCTACATTGGTGTTATTGAAGAATATTGTCTACGATTGGTCTGAGTTTGTGCCGAAGAAGCGCTGAATATCTTCAAACTTAGGAATTTCAAGCAGTTTCGTCCAGTGCAGCTTTAAACGATCGTTTACAAAAACGATTAAAAACCCTAAGAACAAGGGCATTTGGCAAAATTGTTCGTTCCGCGTTCGTTCTTTTCCCAATTGTTCTATTCCCGTTCCGATGTCGAGAACGGTTCAAGCTATTCGTTAACGGTGGAAATCATAATGACTGTTTACGTTTTGGATCGTTAAGAAAAGTTGATTGTTAACGATGTCTATTTTTTTGTGATGTCGATTGATAAAATGGTTTATGGAAACGGATGTTATTGCCACACACTTTTCTGATTCTTATATCTTTGCAACCTGATGATGTAAACTAAATTTAGTTTAAAAAATCAAAGATCTACGACATCGGGTTGAAAAGGATTAACAAATGCCAGTCTTGCTGTGTTCTTTTTAACTCGAAATTTAAAAGCCATTCCTATTAATTCATGAAATCATGACTTGTATAATATGTAAATCATGTATACAAGTTTCTAATTTAGAACGAGTTCATCATTTTTAACGTACACGAATCCAATCCATTTTTAAACATATTACCGTTCGTTCCTGTAATAGAACCATCCTTCCCCGTTACAACGCCCAACCCTAGATCTAAGGGGATATATGGCCAGTAGAAGCATGAGGTGTTAGAGAGAGGGAGGACCATTGCACCATCGTTACCGCAAAAATTTCGTTTTATAACGAAAACAGTGTATGCATACTTTAAAGGATTAATAATTAACAATTACAGTGAAAACCAGAAAACAATGGAACAGTAATACGACAAAAAAGCAATAATCAAGTGTATTTGATGTTGTTACAAAGCAAATAGTTTTACTAGACACAATTATTAAATCACTAATTTAACAAAAGGGTGTTTTAAGACTAAACAACTGATGTGCTCATGCTCATTGGAATTTTTATAATTATAACTTTAGTCCAAAGGTCGTCTTTCTTTTACAGAATTTTCTGGTTAGTACATTATCAATCATTTACAAATACAATAATCTCTTACATAATTCCAGATTACATATCAGCTGTGAAAAAGAAAATGTTGCCACTGCTACTGCTGCTGCTGGTTGTTAGTGCGGGCTCTAGGCCCCAGGTGTCGTCAGAAGGAGAGTTTGGAACAGTTTTATTTGGAAAAATATCTTATTCTTTATTCGGTCATTTTTCTTTGTGGATGTAACACAATTCAGTTTTTTGCCATAAACACTGATTTTCTAATCCATATATCTTTGCAATCCAATGCAGTAGTCCTTAGATCAAATAGCCTTAGTTTGAAATATAAAAGGTTTACAACATCAGGGTGCAAAGCTATAGAATATATAAAATTTGTGTTTGTGGCAAAGGCTCAATTCCTTTGACTTTAAATCACAAAAGGCATCAGAAACTTAATAATAATGATTTTAATTAATTACTAAGATCGAGCAATTTTATGAAATCGCCGAGGGGGGGGGGTCATTTTCAGGTTTTGTCTAGAATGTTTTCTGAGCTCAAGTGGTGAAGGAAAACTTATACATGTACACATTATGTAACCTCCAGGGACAGTGTGACAATAACCAAAAAACTCTGGATTTGGAAGACGACTTTTAGAACTAATTTATAACTTTAAAAGTCCGATGAGAATGAGACACAGCAATTGTGCAGTGTAAACAGACCCATGTTACTAAATTGGTGATTTAATAAGTGTCTAGTAAAACTATTTGCTTTGTAACAATATCAAATTCAATTAAGTATTGCTATAATATCGTCTTCTTATTTCATTTTTTTCTGGTACTCACTGTTTGGAAAAAGATTAAAACTGAGAACATAATAATCATTATTGGAAAAGGTAATATACTTCCTAAAACGATTGTTTAACTTTAAGAATTTCACACATTCATTGTAAAAATTCCAAACCATAAAATTATTAGAAACCACAGTGATTGAAACCCTAGTTGATTCAGAACTAACAACAATACAAACTACAATTGATGAAACTACTGAAAATAATGAAATATCAACGGATACTCCAGAAGTTTCAACTATTAGTGATGTTGGATCAACAATAGAGAATATCGCTGATGAGGCTTTGAATGTTCAATTAGACAATAGAGATATTGATGATACCATTGAACTAAAGGAGCAAGGTGAAATACCTTTCAAGTTTGGGAAGCCATTTCATGCTGTTTTAACAAAATGAAAATTAACTTGATAACATTTTAGGATATTTTTTTTTATTTAACACAAAGTTAACATTGTAATATAGATTCAGGGTTATCCACAAATAATGAGACTTCAGAGACGATTGTACAAAGTACATACTATCTATTTACTTATATTTACAATTCGCTGCAGCAGTAAACTTCTTTCTTTCTTTTCCAAATCATTAGATAAACAATTAAATTACTATATCTCAGGCAGAATACATAATTTAATCTTGAGATTAACACATTCCTAATGCTTCGGGTCGTCTTTATAGTTACATTCTTTGTGTGTAACCCTTTACAAACTACATATTTAACTAATAATTTAAATATTAAGTCTTGACAACAGCTCCTGAAAACCTGGAAAGTAATGATGCAACAACTGAAGCCCCGAATAGCTTTGATGTCTCAACTGAAGCCCCGAATAGCTTAGATTTCTCAACTGAAGTGTCTGAACTCGGCGTTATTTCTACCCAATCTTGGCTGTCTAGAGATCAAATTGAAGGCTCTACTGCTGATGATGATCTCATTGAAGGGTCTGGTAGTGGTACTGAAACGGTAATTGAGGATGCTGTAAAACTTTTAGAAGAACTTGAGGAAGCTGTTCTTGAACAGGAAGCTGTTCTTGAAGAGGAGGCTGCAGAAAAAATGATTAATCAAATTGCAGACATGGAAGCTGATCAGATCATTGAAGAGCCAGTGGAAGAGGCGATTGCTGAGACGATAGAGGAGGCTATTTCAGCGGGGCTGGACGAAACTTCTATTCAAAATGCTATTGAAACTTCTATGAACGATATAGTTGAAGAGATAGTAAAAGAAGAAATATTAGAGAAAACAGAAGTGTTCAAGCCTTCCCCAAAATTAGAGCCTACATTGAAAATACAAAATCAACCCCAGGAATCAATAAATTTATGAAGATATCAAATTTGACGGATGCAGTTATTATTTTTAGATTCTTAAGTGTTTACTTTAAAAAATGAACACAAACACACAAGAGCACAAAAAAGGATTATGCTGAAGGGGGAAAAATATGCGCAAATATTTATAGCACCTATTTTTTTATTGGTTCCTCTTTCAAAAAGTACACCAAGTCAAATATTAGATCTTAACACCAGAAATATTTACTTTCATGAATGACAGACGGCTTAGTAAGCTGCACGCCGAGACATCAAACTAAGTTATTTGTAAATATTTCAACAACAAGGGTTCAAGGTTACCGAGACACTCCTAGTTTAAAACCATTTTCAGGAAGATATAAAAATCAATCATCACGGAACCTCGAACCAATCAATATCAACTGAGAATATGAAAAAGATATTTAATCTTTAAGGGACTGTAAGCGTAATTTCAAGTGACCCTCTTTGCAAAGATGACAATGCCTTCTTTACAACAGTACCTTTAAAAGCTTTTTCTGTTTAATTATGAATTAGATATAATTATTTATTAAAGGAATTGAGATGTAATTAAAGGAATTGAGATATAATTAAAGGAATTGAGATGTAATTAAAGGAATTGAGATATAATTAAAGGAATTGAGATGTAATTAAAAGAATTGTGATATAATTAAAGGAATTGATATGTAAGTAAAGGAATTAAGATATAATTAAAGGAATTAAAGTCCTTGCCTTAAACTATTATTTTCTAATCCCTATATCTTTGCAACCCAATATCGAAGACCTCAGATATTTCCAACTCTGAATTCTACTAGATCAAATAACCTAAGTTTTGAAATATCAAAGGTGTATACCATTTACCATCAGGTTGTAAAGATATACAGGTTTGTAAATTTGAGTTTGTGGCAGAGACTCAATTCCCTAACACGTGACCCTCCATTAAAAAAGGCGCGGGAACTCTAATTCTAATCCAAGTTTGTCCAGCTGAAAATTGAGACCTACCGGTATTTTAACCGCAAAAACTCTTTCAATACAGATTTCTCTTTCATGGGTAATTATTTAAAGTTTTAAGGGGTATCCATATGAATCAGACATACCACTTAATAAATGTCGAGTATTTTAAAAATACGAGTACAGTCACTTTCACATTGAGAAAAGTTTATTGATTAGTAATTGATGTAGGAAACCGAAGTGTTTACTCCAGGATCTGTGTTTGGATTACAATGTGAAGCTACATCTCAGGTTAGAATAAAATATATAGGGTGTTCCAATAAACATGGGAATAAAGAGACAACTTGAAATATCGTCTTCGTTTTTAGAATAAAGACTCAATGTCTTTTCTTTGTATCTTAAAAATTGACGGTGATAATAAACAGTTGAAAGATATCGTTAGGATTTCATTAACTAATTAATTAAACAAAGACGATAACACAGAAAATACTTTAAATACAGAGGGTACAGTGGTCACCGAATATATCAATACAATAAAGACGAATTTTTAATTTAAGTTTTGATTTTGTAAGCTTTTTATTTTATTTAAGGTTTTTTTTCGAATTTACAAGTAATTAAAGAGAAGTTTTTTGATTAACAGATTCTATTCGTTTTCATGTTCATGTATACCCATACTGTTTAAGCAACTGGACATAAATCGAAATTGAAATCAAAGGTTTTTCTTAGTTTATTGCGACGATGGCTGTATTAAAGAGAATAAAAATAATACAGAATAAAGCCTACAAGCATGACTAATACATAGTTCTTGTTCAGGTTGATTTAAACATCAAATACTCGTGGACCAAGAACGGTCGATTTATTGATATTCAGACAGACAGAATATTTCTAGAATCGGACAAAAAAGGTAAAATAACGGAAAATATAGAAAATGAGAAAAATCAAATACGACTCAGGTCTCAGCTGTCGTTGGGTCTTAATTACGGCTTGAGCTTTGAGTTTCATCTAATTACACCGAGTTGAGTTCATAAAACAGGTTTATTATTGTATTTGGCGGATTTTCATTATTGGAATTGGCGCATTCCGGGTCTGAGATAAAAACAAAACTCAACATTGAGTCTAATTCACCACTAAAACCAACCAAGGTCGGTTTTATTTTCATTGGGCCTAACAATGTAAGACAAGTTTAAGATCTCGTAGCTGTCATTCACGTGACACAAGCTGTCGTCTGAGTCGGGTCTTAGATTGGGTTTTAAAGCTAGGTTTCAGGAATTAAGACCCGAGCCGAAGCTTTTAAATCTCGGGCTCAGATATAGCCAAAATTATGTTCAATGTCTGCATGGGTTTCGAACAACACAGCAAACATCTTTTTAAAAAGTTTGCGTGTTGTTTTAACATTTCTGGATTAAGTTATTTAAAAAACTGTTTAGGAAATTTAATCATTCTGAGTCCGGATGAAGATGACGTTGGATTATATCAATGTGGAGCATCCAATTCGGAAGGTGTGGCATTTTCCCGCGTTATCCGAGTAGATAGCAAGTTTGTTCGAAAATTGGAAAACAGCTCACCACAGCGAGTAGGAGGAGGGGGGAGGGCTTTAAATGGACCCTCGGAGCTCTTTCTTGTCATGCCCACCTCTAATGGAAAATTTGAACCTGAACATATTCAAATTGTTGAATCAGAAATAGCAGAGGAAAAGTGATGTAATTACACAATACCTATAGTACAGTTAAACATTGTAAATCAAAAGATTTTGTAAATAAAACATGACAAATTGATGAACAGTGAGCAAGGAATTATTTGACAAGTTTTTAGAATACAAGATAATTTAGCATTAAGCCTAGCAAACTGTGACATTCGAACATAGCTTGACCAAATAAACATAACAAATTTTTAATTAAAAAAAAGGAAAAACAGCTTTGTGATGGAATTCAGTTTTTACCAACAAACTCTGACTTTCTATATCTTTGCAACTCGATGTTGCTGATCTTTGATATTTTAACCTTTAAATTATGTTAAAATAACTAGTTTAATCTACCATCAGGTTGCAACTTGCAATAATATGTGCTTTAGAAAATTTAAGTTGTGACAAAAACTCAATTCCTTTGAATATGATTGAATTATAAATAAAAAACGTGATAGAATTCAAATCAATATCAACAAAGTATCAAGTGTGTATCAATTAATGCGTTAAAAGATGGATATGAGCTTCGAACTGAAAATATTTAAGTATGTGTCTTCATTTTTCTGTCAGAAAGGATATTGAGATTGGTCTATACTAAATGATATATATCAACAAATTATCAAGTATGTGCTTTATATCTTGGGTAATTTTGAACGCACTAAAAAGACAACCCACATTTTGTGATTATCATTTTATTTTGTTGATATTTTTCATTTAGTATAGACCAATATCAATATCCTTTCTGACAGGAAGATCAAGACATACACTTTAATATTCTCAGTTCCAAGCTGATGTCCTATTTTTAACGCATTTATTGATTCGTTTTGGTTAAATTTCATTTTTCTTTCATAATTTTGAATGAAATCATTCATTTCTCCTGTGATTTTGAACGCACAAAAGAGGCTGATCAAATTTTGGAAATTGCTGGAGTATAGGAATCATTTCATCAATCATTTTAATTATATGTAAATTATATTGACAAATGAATGCTATAAACTGTTTCAATGATCAAAGCTTATTGTTAAAGCGTCAATTAATTCCAGGTCTTTCTGGTTATGACTGTATGGGCAAAAAAGACCGAAAACCCAACTAACTAAAAGCACTTACCTGCATTCACCGCAATGAGAAATATTTTTTTGGTTAATTTTTGGAACTTAGCGGGCAGAAAGAAAAACACAACAAATGTTTTCTAAATTTATTATGCTCAAGACATAAATTTATTTTTACAATGGCGATAGTAAAATGTTGTTTTTTTCATTACATTTACCGAGTAACTGAAATTAATAAGTGTTCCGTTAATATTTGACATGAATAGCTGCGTAAACATAAAAATAAAAATACAATTGATTTCCAGAACGATGACAAGGGATTCTACAGAAATTCTCAAAAAAGTATAGTTTAGAATTGAATAAAATAAATATATATTTAGCAATTGAGCCAATTTGAGAGTATTTANTAGAATTGAATAAAATAAATATATATTTAGCAATTGAGCCAATTTGAGAGTATTTAACCAAATCTGATGGTGGTGTGAGAGCACACAAAATATGAAAGCGGAAAGGTCACTTCGGCTTTACAAACGATATGGCACTATGTTATATATCACCGTGAATTTGCAACAATGTGTAGGAAAAATAATTATGCAAATTAAACGATAAGAACTAAAAAGTGTATAGAAGAATACTTAACGACATATTTTTAAAAATATTGCTAAACATTAACTTTACATTTTACAAAAATGCGTTTATTAGTATTTGTATACTAAACTATACAATTTAAGTACAGGCGTAGTCTATATATCAAACAATAAAGACGACTTCCTATTTCTATTTCTACCAACCTTTTCAACAACATAGACATCTACACATTTAAACAATAAGAAGTTGTTTGTCAATAGCTTCTCTTTGTTTACTTGTAAACTTGTAATTTGACAAATGCTTGCTAGACAGCAAAGCATTATTTATAAGTCGTCTTCATTGTAATTTTTAAATCGGCGACCATTGTACTTACAACATAGAAAGCAGAGTTAAAAAATATGTAAATGAACATGTTTAAAGGGACTGTAAGCAACATTTCAAGTGACCCTTCAATTTCCATGCAAAGATGAAAATGCCCAATATGTAGTGGCATCCTTGAAACCTTAATCTGAAAAATGAAAAGTGTGGTAGATACCTTTCTTTTTCTGACTCGAAAAATTTTCATAAACAAGGAATCCGCAAGTTACTTTCGCAGAGAAACCGCAAATGAAAATGAACACTCAGTTTAAAGAAATAAAAACAATGATATCTAATTCATACTTGATCAGTCAAAGCTTTCAAGGGTACCGTTGTAAATCGGGCATTGGCATCTTTAAATGGAGGGTTACAGTCCCTTTAATCTTTTTCTGAATAAAGTTGAATAAAACAAATTATAAAATGAGCTAATGCGAGTATTTATTAAGATAGACATTCATTGATTATTCAAAGAAAAATATCTCGAGGTTATTTAATTTCTTTAAACAATGAACAAAAGATTCAATGTCTATATAACCAAGGTTTTCTAGAATGCGGACATTTTCCTTTCCTCTGGAAAAGTACGCAACCTATTGATTTAGAATTTAGGAGATAAAAAAACAAAAATCACAAAGGTTCAGCTTTGTACAAACAGTATGTTTCTCCAAGCAGACAAATTTGGACAGATTTTCTTTAATATTGTTACTATGGCTATATCTATGATAAATCTCGTTAAATGCTTTATGTGTTACACATTCAGAGATTCCAAGATATATTACAATGTTCACTGTTTAGCCGCCAGATTGTTTATCACTTTGAGCAACACTTAAACCCCTTCTTAAAGAGACTGTACGCGTAATTCCAAGTTACCTTCCATTTATTGAGTGGCGTGTACGATTTATAACGTTACCCTGTAAATCTTTGCTTGATCTTAAATTTCGTAGATATTCTTGTTTATAAATCGGAAAATTAGGTGTCAAGAAAACGCGCGAGTGTACACTAACTCGGAGTGTACAGTGAACACTACATCCTCGTGTCTCCAGGAACACGAGATTCTGCTATACACATAAAAGTATCTACCTAATCGTTGACCGGACAACGGTTTAAAGGGTACCGTTGTGCATCGGACATGCCTCTTGATAAATGAAAGGTCACTTAAAATTACGCATACAGTCCCTTTAATAATGTTTTTTTATACTAATAAAGAGGATATTCTTATTAATGTATTTTAGTAGATAGGTTTGTGCATAACAGCTGTGGAAATGTCACTATCTAATCTACTAAGAGATTTCTTAACCCTGAGAGCTGTTAGCCTAGCATTAGGGTTTTGGTGCCAACATTCACTCATTACCTAGAATAAATAAAAAATATTAAAGGGCATCTTATTATAAGCTTACACATGTTTAGCGGCAATGCGTCTATAAGGCACCCGAGCCTTATTCCAGTTGTTCAGAAAAATTCTTAGGCATTTATCAACACCAAACTTTTGCATAATAAAAATTCCAAGATTTGATCGTTACAACCAGATCATATCCTGGGGACATAAGACCAACAAATTAAAAAATTAAAAATTCATTTAAAAGTTTTAAGATTACAATTTTAACCGTATTTCAACAAAAACTTTAAAAAAAGGTAAATTTACGCGACATTAATAGGTCGCTTCTATAGTTATGATATTATGCAAATTTATGAGAAAACAACTTATCATCGCAATACCTCTTCAGTCTTCAATAAGAGGAGATATGATTGAAAACAATAAAAGAATTAAATCATTGGTAAAATTTGATTTAGTTTGACGTGAGAAAGAGATTTTAGATTTGAATAGAAAACTTTAAAAATTTAAGAATAAGAAAAAACTGTCCGACCTTATATAAAGTTCTTAGAGTTATATTTGAGTTCCATCTGCTAGGTATTTCAGGTCTCACTTCCTTCACACAAACAACCTTAACATCAATATTATAATTACACAGTTTTAGGGTTTTCAGATTTTCCGATGACACAAATCAAATAATTTAAATAATTTGTAAATGAGCTGTTTCAAGTTTCCCCCCCCCCCCCATTGATTGGGTTTCTTATTTCTTACTTTCCACTGTAAATTTTCAACACAAATCCCAAATTTTTTTTTTCGCTGATCAACACAATAATCATTTATAATATGAATTTTTCTGTGCACGGTTTTAACAAAACAAAAAATATTTGATTCCCATGTGAATTTATTCAATCAAGCAATAATGAGTTTTCCAATTTTGGCTGCCAGGTGGCGCGAAAGTGGCGCCGTGTCCAGAATTGGCGCCATTTCATTCAAATTATTGGGTAATTTATACAATAAAGCAGATTAAATGTGAATTTAAAATAGGATTCAGAATGTATAACAATCAGAATATTTTTGATTCCTTGGATTGACAAAATAATTCAAAATTTTGATATAATGAATTCAATAGCAGAGTAGATAATGAATTCAATTAAAGTGACTGAATCGCCGCATTACGATACATTACAACTGGTACATAAATTCTCAGTGCTACCTGGTACATATCGTCAAAAGAAGGATCATGAGGAACACAATCATAATATGGAAGTCTGTAGTCCTCACATTGCGTCACCTTAAATTTTAACAGGAAAATTATTATTTTAACAGTGCTAAGGATCCAACCATTTTAATGTGCAAGAGGTCTCTTAAAAAATGATTATTTATCAAGCTTCACTAATTTCTGGAAACATAGAGTCGGAATAGTTCAAATAATGTCTTGTAAATTATGATTATAGATTACACATTTCGATATCCAACCTCATATATCCTTTACTAAAAAGTACAGGATTGTCCGGTAGATTGAAACATAAATGATTTTATCCCATTAATCCTTCAGGCTTGGATAAATATAAAAAGTTCGCACTTTCCTCAAAGAATGGCCATCCTTGACACTTAAGACAGGTGTTTTGAAAACAAACAGATGTTATATGTATAATGTAATTATAGTGTTAGGTATTTTTCAACTTAAAAATGTTAAAATTCCCAAGCAGCAACTTCCCAGGCCTTCTGAGCCGCCACAGGCTGCAATAGGGGCAGAACGCTGCAACTAGGATGGACTAAGATGCCAAGCATTGAGGCTAAAACAGACTATAGTGCCGAGCATTGAGGCTAAAACAGACTAGGGTGCCGAGCATTGCAGCTAGGACAGACAAAATTTGTAAATTGCCCCCTTGGTAAAATTCCCTTTGGAAGTTACTGCTTGGGGAAAGCCTTTTAGTAAGTAGCTTTTGTGTTTAAAAGTTCAAAGGCTATTTTTATTTATCTAGGTATAAATTCAACGCGAAGTCAATTTTTTTATATTTAAGGAATAAAAAATGTTAATTTGCTTTACTAGCTTCATCAATCTAACCTTATCAGCTGTAAGTGTTCGCCGAGTAATTTCCCAGAGCACGAGACCGTACGCATACATATCTACGCATTTATAGCTCTCGAATGAAGATGTGACTAAGGTCTCGTCTAGAACTTCTGGCGCCATATATCTTCGGGTTCCAACTCTCGTATTTGGAGCAATGTCTACCTCGTTACCTTCGCTGTTATACCTGATAAAATTATATTAAAATACTTATTAACAGAGGTAAAAACGTTTGTGCTGTGAATCCCGGGATCAAGAAGTTAGGATTAAATTAAGTCTTCTTGGATTAATGGATCCTGTGGGGCTAAATCAAATTAAGAGATCAAGCACATTATTTGAAAGCTGTCACGTGACAGTATGTTAATTGATTAAGCTTCGAAGATTAATTGTCACACAAAAGTTTGACCTCAGGTCAACAAAAAAGCAATCCATAGGGTCAAACTTGTATACGTTTTCCATTATGTAAAAAATGACAAGATCAAACGAAAATGATAAAGGGCTTTTTAAAAAATAACAATAAAATAATATCATATCTTCCGACTTAAGTAACCTCAATATCAAAACTGCACATTCTTAACAAATATAATTAAAAAATCTATGCTTAAAAAATAAAACTAAAGGCAACATTAGGCACTTTATAAGATTAATTTGAGCAAAAGTATTTGGACAAAACCATTTCATACAATTTTCGCCAACGATACAAAAATCAGATTCGGTAAATTTTGATGCAACACTGAAGGATTATCCCCCCCCCCTGATTGTGTGTGACCTCAAATGACCCCAGGGAAGGTTTTTGGAGGGTTAAAATCTCAAAATTTTTTTCATAAAATTTTGAAAATCCACGAAAATATAATCTAAAATCTTCTATTCTAAATTTTGTTCATTACAAAGAGAAAATGTTCACAGATAAAGCAACAATTAGAAGTTGCAATAGACGATGGGGTCGAAGCACCCTGGAAGTCTTGTACAATAAACTTTTTTGTTTAATTACTGACCTTACTGCTAGCCCAAAGTCGGCTATAACACTGCTTCCGTCCTTCTTTACCAAAATATTTTTACTTTTAATATCTCGATGAGCAATCGCCGGTTTACCCTAAACAATTGATCATGCGTATATTTCTAAGAATTACACCCTGACCCCGGGGGGGGGGGGGCGGTTTTGTGGATCTGGGTGAAAATTAAAAAATTGAACATGAAGAGGCAAGTTTTTAAAATCCTTTTCATTCTTTTCTTTTCAACAAAAAAATTATTTATTTTCCTCAATTCAGAGAAGAAAAAAATTATTTTTGACACTCCCCGCACACACCTAACTTCTGGAGAAAAAATATTAATTTTGCCACTCCCTGCACACACCTAACTTCTGAGTAAAAATAATTTTCAGGAAAATAGATTTGATACATTTATCAATATCAACTTTAATCCCTCCTTCTGAAAATCAGTTTCTTTAGTTTTAATTTTTTCTCAATTTCAATCAGGTAATAAACAGGGGTGGATACAGGATTTAAGTGAGAGGGGTGCTAGATTTATCTTGGAACAAAAAAATTCAGATTTAGGAACAAATAGACGTGCAGCAGCCAATTTTTTTAATATAGATTTCCTGTTTTGCACTAGGTTTTTTTTCCCGTAAGTGCTATTCAGAAGCTATTTTGAAATCTCAAGGGGGTGCGAAGGTCCTGTCGCCCCCCTTGTATCCGCCCCTGGTGATAAACAAACGTATATACGTTTTACATAGAAATTTGGCAACCTTGTATGGTTAATGCTAAAAACAAAAAAAAAACATAGAATTTGGCTCATTTCTGAATAAATGCATATCATTACCTTTGTCCCAAATATTTCTGTATGAAGATGCGAAATTCCCTGGATGGCAGTTAATGCTAGTTTGACCTAAGTGAATATTTCATTTTTCAGGATACAAAATAAATCTGTTAAGATTGTAAAAACTATTGCTAAGGCTCCTTTTCATTTTGATGAAGACCGGATCTAGATCTGGATCCAGGATACCCAGTGAAAAAAAATCCAAATACGGATCTGGGTCATACTCATTTCTTTAAGATTTACTGATTTTAAAAATAAGAATTTTCAAATGTTTTTATTTTTTTTTCGATTGTTATTAGGCTGAAACTTGCTAAGCCATCCGTGGATCCGCATATTTTTTATGGATTCGGGTCCGGATCCGTAGTATTGTGAAGACATTTTTTAGGATTCATTTGAGACATACAAAACGTTTTAATAATGTATAATTACTGAATTTGAGCGCAAATCAACGTTCAAAATCATCTATTTGGGTAGTTACGTTTTGAGAATCGATTTTTCAAAAATATTGAAATAACGACGACAAAAAATGTATCAAAAATTCTACAGTAAACTAATTAGATGTTTAGGAACATATATTTCTCAATAGAAATGTGTCAATAAATCAATGTTAGGATCAATTATTTCTTTTTCATTATAATTAAATTTCTTATTCTTTAAGAATTTGTTCGCAGATATCTTCAAATTCTTCAAATGTCCTCTTTTCAATAAAATTCAAAAATATTTAATAACGACAAAAATGTAAAAATAATTCAACATTAAACTAACTAGATGTTTAGGAACATATTTCTCAATCGAAATTTGTCACTAAATCAATGTTTGAATCAATTTCTTTTCCATCATTATACTGAACTTCTTATTCTTTACGAATTTGTTCGTAGATTTCTTCAAATTCTTCAAATGTCGTTCTTTCAATAAAAATTCCAGAAAATCTACAGAAAATGTTTGTGAACAATACAAGATCACTTATTTTTGAAAGGGTTGATTTTTATTTTCTCAACCTGTTCCTAAACAATTAATTAGTTATGCATATCAAACGAAAGCTAGGAACCCCAGGAATACAGTAGCAGCAACAAATCCAGTGTTTGACCTTCTAATGACCTCTTACGACCTCTAATGATCTAAATGACCTCCAAAAATGAAAACGTTTTAACTATGACTTTTTGCAAATCAAACAAAAGCTAAGAACCCCAGGAATACAGGCTACTTTATTCCTGGGGTTCCTAGCTTTCGTTTGACCTAAATGACCTCCAAATGTAAATGTTACAATTTTTGTCGTCCTTATTTAATAATTAAAAAATCGATTCTCAGAACGTAACCGTAATTAAATCGATTCTCAGAACGTAACCGTAATGAATGATTTTGAAAGTCGACTTTGAGCTCAAACTCAGTTATTACACACTAGCAAAACGTTTTATAAAGCTCAACTGAGTCCTAAAAAATGTCGTCACAATACTAGATTCTCAGTTCAACTACCATACATTGTCAGTCGCTCCCTTTAAATTACCAATTTATCCAACGAATACTTACCGCTGCTTCATGGTCCAACACATTGTTTTGAAGAAAGTCGTAAAGGCTTCCAAGGTCGTAGTAGTCGGTAATAAGCAGCATTTGTGTCCAGCCGCCTGAACCCTAGCAGCACACGGCGATCAGTAAATATTGTCTTTCAGGGTCAAAATTTGGCAAACTGTGAGAGAAGCAATTGTATTTTTTTATTCTAAACATTTGCTTTTCTTTCAGCTTGTTTGACCTTGTCAGAAAATATATCTGCTGAAAAAACGATACAAAAACGATCCAAAAACGGTCCAAAAACGATTCAAAAACTATTTAAAAACATTTCAAAAACGATCCAAAAACGATCCCAAAACGATCCAAAAACGATTCAAAAACGATTCAAAAACGATCCAAAAACTATCCCAAAACCATCCAAAAACGATTCAAAAACGATCCCAAAACGATCCCAAAACGATTCAAAAACAATCCAAAAACTATTCAAAAACGATACAAAAACGATTTAAAAACAATCCAAAAACGATACAAAAACGATATAAAAACGATGCAAAAACGATCCCAAAACGATCCCAAAACGATTCAAAAACGATTCAAAAACTATTTAAAAACTATACAAAAACGATTCAAAAACAATCCAAAAACGATACAAAAACGATTCAAAAACGATCCCAAAACGATTCAAAAACAATCCAAAAACTATTTAAAAACGATACAAAAACGATTCAAAAACAATCCAAAAACGATACAAAAACGATACAAAATCGATACAAAAACGATTCAAAAACGATTCAAAAACGATTCCAAAACGATCCAAAAACAATCCAAAAACTATTTAAAAACGATACAAAAACGATTCAAAAACAATCCAAAAACGATACAAAAACGATTCAAAAACGATCCCAAAACGATCCCAAAACGATTCAAAAACAATCCCAAAACGATACAAAAACGATACAAAAACGATACAAAAACGATTCAAAAACAATCCAAAAACGATCCAAAAACGATTCAAAAACAATCCAAAAACTATTTAAAAACGATACAAAAACGATTCAAAAACGACTGTGTTGTACCTTGATATCTGCAGCTATAAAGCCTAGAATATTATCATGTCTCATGAGAACGGTTTGGTAGATTTCCGTTTCTCTGAACCAGCTGGCCTCCTCGGTTGTAAAGAAAACCTAGAAATTAACATATTTAACCAGGCCCGACACCTCTTTTCTCCTAAAAGGCAGTGGAATTATTNCCCGTTCAAATTAACAAATAAGTATGCTCTATGCGCTTAATTTCTGCTGGCTGCAAAGAAAAGATTGATGTAGACGAGGCCGTATTCTGAAGCACTGTGTCTGAGATTAACTTAAAAGAACCAAACTTCTTTTGTCGAAAATATCCACTCCTATCCTAACCTTTCTTATCCCATTTGTCATTATTAAGGCGGAATTCTGACAATTAATATCCTCAGAATTTTCAAACCCAACTTAATGCAGTGAAACTTTTTCAACAATGATGAATATGAACCTGAACCTTAAATCAGTTGAGTTAGCATTCCTAGAAAACTGAAAACTGAAGATCAGTTAAGAACAACACACAAGTCAGAGAAAAATAATTCACTCCTTTTTTTCAAAATTTTGTTAAAAATTTTTCAATTTAAAAATAAATTGTAAAAAAAGTTTTCTTAATTCTGAAAAAAATATTCACTCCTGAAAAATAACAATCATTTTTACCTTAACCGCCACTCGTTCTCCTCTCCACCTAGCCAACCATACTTCTCCATATCTTCCTTTACCCACACTAGACAGCTAAACATTCAATCAATAAATCATCAATCAATTACCAACACTAGACAGACAGCTAAACATTCAGTCGATCTATCAATTAATCAAAAATCAATCATACTTCTCCATATCTTCCCTTACCAACACTGGACATTTATTCGTTCAATAAATCAATCAATCACCAAACACTAAACATCTATACATTTATTCAATCAATCAATCAATTAGTCAATCAGCCAATCAATCAATAAATCAATTAATCATACTTTTTCCCTTTCTTCCTTCACCAACACTAAGACATCTAAACATTCAATTAATCAATCAATCAATCAATCAATCAATCAATCCAGCTAAACATTCAATTAATCAATCAATCAATAAATTACCAACACTAGACATCTAAACATTCAATCAATCAATCAATTAATTAATCAATCATACTTCTCCCTTTCTTCCCTGACCAACACTAAGACATCTAAACAGTCAATTAATCAATTAATCCGTCAAACATTCATTTAATCAATCAATTGATCAATAAATCAATCATTCTTATCCCTTTCTTCCCTGACCAACACTAAGACATCTAAACAGTCAATTAATCAATTAATCCGTCAAACATTCATTTAATCAATCAATTGATCAATAAATCAATCATTCTTATCCCTTTCTTCCCTGACCAACACTAAGACATCTAAACAGTCAATTGATCAATTAATCCGTCGAACATTCATTTTGATCAATCAATAAATCGTACTTCTCCATGTCTTCCAACACTAGACTTCTTAATATTCAANCATAATTTTAAGCTTAAGGGCGAAATCAGGTTTATCCCCTTCCCCCTAGTTGCATCACTGATCTTTACCATATGTATCTGCTTAGCTATTGTTCTTTGAACCAAGAGTGGGAGTCCAGAACCAGAACCTGAACTCTGTTCAATCAGTTCAGACAACGTTGAAGTTCCTAAACAACATGTTTATTGTATATTTAACCGGCTTTTGACCAACATTACCGACCAATGCTTCCCCAAACAGAGGGAGGTTAGGTTACTTAACGTCCACTGGGACAGTTATGTAAAATAACCACCTGTTCTGCGAAGTTTTCGGGAAAAAATTCAAATTTTTATAAGATAAAATTTTGTAAAACTGCTTTTTCGGGAAATTAAAATTTTTACATTACCTTGGGTTCGAAAGATCAATTTTGTCTACAAAACGTCCCTCGCTGAGTCCTTGGATGTTTTGTAGACAAAATTGGTCTTTGGAACCCTTGGTAATGTAAAATTTCCTCAACTTTCCTGTAAAGGAGTTGAAAATAACTATTATCTATGAATGATTTCGTTCAGAATGAGACAAAGTCAGTTATATTTAATAAATGAAATTTAAACAAAACTCTTAACATATCTGGTATTATTGAGAGCCAAAACTCTTAACATATCTGGTATTATTGAGAGCCAAAAAATGGCAGAACACATTCAGAAAATAGCAGGATTAGGGCTATTTTGCGATTATTGTTTTATAAAAAAATATTGCTTAATTCAGACTACCTATTATGAATGCCGGCAGATTTTTTTTAACGTCAAGGACGACTTTGAAATTATCAATCAATCAATTGATATTATTCCGAGTTATGTAAAATAAGACATTTTATATGAATGCAAAGTTCTTGTCAACATTTTCGATGATAAATTTGTTAGATTTTGTCCAATTCTTTTATAAAAAAGGTCCAAAAACTGAAATAACAACAATAAATAATAAGTCTTTTTTTGGGCCAGGGGCTAAACTATAATATTTCCTTTCACCTCGAAACATTTAAAAAATAAATTTTTTTCATAGTTCAACCTAACCTAAAACACGATCTTCAGAACCGTAGGTCTACGCACTATGTTGTGTGACTGTGTGTTTGATTGAAAACTTTATTTTCGACAATATGGTTTATTATAAACTCATTAAAAATTACCAGGTAGTCCAAATTCTTCATTGTCTCCAGGACTTCCAGCCTCTGATATGTATCTAATAAGAATAGGCATAAGAAATAGTAGGCTTAAGAAAGAATAGGCACAAGAAAGAATAAGCATAAGAAAGAATAGACCTAAGAAAGAATAGGCATAAGAAATAGTAGGCATAAGAAATAATAGGCATAAGAAAGAATAGGCATAAGAAAGAATAGGCATAAGAAAGATTAGACATAAGAAAGAATAGGCTTAAAAAGAATAGGCATAAGAAAGAATCAGCATAAGAAAGAGTAGACATAAGAAAGAATAGGCATAAGAAAGAATAAGCATAAGAAAGAGTAGGCATAAGAAAAAATAGGCATAAGAAAGAATAAGCATAAGAAAAAATAGGCATAAGAAAGAATAGGCATAAGAAAGAAAAAAGCATAAGAAAGAATAGGCATAAGAAAGAATAAGCATGAGAAAGAATAGGCATAAGAAAAAATCAGCATAAGAAAGAATAGGCATAAGAAAGAATAGGCACAAAAAAGAATAGGCATAAGAAAGAATAGGCATAAGAAAGAATAGGAGTAAGAAGGAATATGAGTCAGAAGGAGTAGGAATAAGAATGAAAAGGAATAAGAATATGAATATGAATATGAATATGAATATGAATATGAATATGAATATGAATATGAATATGAATATGAATATGAATATGAATATGAATAGGAATAGGAATAGGAATAGGAATAGGAATAGGAATAAGAAAAAGAATGAGAATAAGAATAAGATTAAGAAAGAATAAGCATGAGAAAGAATAGGCATAAGAAAAAATCAGCATAAGAAAAAAGGCATAAGAAAGAATAGGCACAAAAAAGAAAAGGCACAAACAAGAATAGGCATAAGAAAGAATAGGAGTAAGAAGGAATATGAGTCAGAAGGAATAGGAATAAGAAGGAAAAGGAATAAGAATAAGAATATGAATATGAATATGAATAGGAATAAGAAAAAGAAAAAGAATGAGAATAAGAATAAGATTAAGAAAAGATTAATTAAATTGCTCTTGAACTAAATAGCAATTCTTTCTGTTATTTAAAATTGCAAGCCGTGGAAAATTTTTGATTTTAATTTGATATTCATTAAAAAACTTTTGTAATCAATTAGTAAAACTTTGGATAATTTAAAATTCAACATGTCAAAACTTACACGAGTCAAAAATTCCTTAAGATCAACGCTAAGAATAACCGTTAGGTCTGAGAACAAACATTATAGTTAAGCATATTTTTACAAATTGTAATTAAGTTTTGATCAAACAATCAATTAACTAATTGTTATACTCTCCCGCTCTCCCAAATCCTAAGTTTTTGGCAACTTAAAGGGACTGCAAACATAATTATAGCTTAAAGGGACTGTAAACATAATTTTAAGCTTAAAGGGACTGTAAACATAATTTAAAGCTTAAAGGGACTGTAATCATAATTTTAAGCTTATAGGGACTGTAAACATAATTCTAAGCTTAAATGGACTGTAAACATCATTTTAAGCTTAAAGGGACTGACTGTAAACATCATTTTAAGCTTAAAGGGACTGACTGTAAACATAATTTTAAGCTTAAAGGGACTGTAAACATAATTCTAAGCTTAAAGGGACTGTAAACATAATTTTAAGCTTAAAGGGACTGTACACATAATTCTAAGCTTAAAGGGACTGTAAACATTATTCTAAGCTTAAAGGGACTGTAAACATTATTCTAAGCTTAAAGGGACTGTAAACATAAGTATAAGCTTAAAGGGACTGTAAACATAATTTTAAGCTTAAAGGGACTGTAAACATAATCTTAAGCTTAAAGGGACTGTAAACATAATTTTAAGTAAGCCTCCATTTAACGAGGAAATATCTGTATCATAACAGTATTTCTTTAAAATTTACTGAATTTTTTAACAAACCAGAATCTTCATTTTTTTGTCTCATTTTTTTCGCTCATATCTTTTTTTCAGTTTTGGTTTATATTTTACCCATCGGATCCGGATCCGTGGATCCGCCATATTGTTGCGGATCCGGATCCAGGAAGCCAAAATCTTGTGGATCCTAAACACTGGACATTACGTTTACAAATATCAGTCCTTTTAAGTATGAAAACTACCTCTGTATTCTATCCTCCCTCTGCTTGTATCGGAGGTACGCGAACGTTACAAGGAGAATAAAAATAACAAGGCAGATCGTAAGGGACACCAAGAGGGCCACATGGTAAACAGAAGGATCTAGTGCTCCAACCTCCCCCTCCCCGGCCTCAGGGGTGGGGGAGTAGATAGGAACCAGGTGCTTGTTGCAAAGGTCCAGGTCGGAGCAGCAGGAAATTGATCTAAATTAAATTTATTACGGTTTATAATTTCTTTAAAGTAACGTTTATAATCAGCAAGTTTAGTGCTTTTTCACATTTTAAATGCCACAATGCCACTTTCATAGCTCAAGGGTGTATATTTTCCTGAAAAATCACCCCCCCCTGTTTTGAAAATCAATTATTTTCCCAAGAATGTTTTAAGGACTTTTTTCGCTGAATGGTAGAAAATAAATGATTTTTAGAAGATTATGAATAGATGAAAATGATTAAAAACCTTTTAAGTCCAATTTTTCATTCCCCCCCCCCCTCTTCAAAAAGCTTCCCCTCGGGGATTGGGTTATTTTTAAAATATACACCCCTGCAATAGGAGCATTCAGCTTTGTAATGTAAGACATTAGCCAATTGGTTGAAAATATCAGTTTTAAAGGTTTACCTGGGATAAAAATGAGGCACAAGATGTCCTTTACATTGCATTAAACCAGTTTCATCAGGAGGCAAACAACCATACGTTCTCTCAGGAACCAGTGTATCCGTTTCAGGGTCAAGCACCTCCTCCACAGCTGAAAAAGTGTAAAATTAAATTAGTAAATTAAGAAATTTGGCTTCCATCGTTCATTTGAAAAACTCGTATACATTAGGACGGACTCTCATTAATTCGCATATTTATGATTAAACTTAATGCTAAGGACTCGTTAGAGTTAATATAATCTTCAAAGCATGTCTTCAAATAAGTTAAAGTCGTTTATAAGGTTAGTCTTTTACTCATACCAGCTTTTTGTAAACTTTTACAAAAAATTTTTTTGAATGAATTTAAATTTTAATTATGTCGATAAAACGATTCTTAAAAATATTGCGGAGTATACTCTGAACAGATATATTTTAATTTAATTGATTGAAAATTTACCTGAAAAACAGTGTGACCCAGCGGGAGCAGTACATGTTCCATTAAGTTGGTTGTCGGGGCAGTGTCCCAAACAAAAACAAACAATGCTTCTAGTCGTCCGTAAGAAACATAACAATAACAAAACAGAATATACAGCGTGCGTCCTCATTATAATATAGTCACTTTGTAGCGTTGCTGTTCATATTTGTAAACATTTAAATTTTGAATTCACAGAGATTTTCACAAGAATTTGGGCCAAAACAATCAGCCACCATCCATCGTATCTAGTTCGGCTGCTGCAGTAAATATTGAAATCTCAAGACTGTGCGTGTCTAGGCTTTCTGTCTCTATCTACCTGACTTCTATCTGTCTATCTATATGAGCATCAGCTATCTATCTATCTATCTAAATACAATATCTATCTATCTCTCTCTCCTATCTATCTGTCTATCTAACTGCGTTTCTACCTGTAATATGGCGACAGCTGGTCTGCACAACAAATAAATGAATTAATATAACAAATTTTATAAATCTTGAAAAAACACAAAGAATTTTAATTTTCTTATTTACTTTTTTTGTGGTTTATTGTGTTGAGTTTGGTTTTCGAGTTATACGAGGGGGGAAGGCTATAGTCTCACCTGCAAGGCTGCAGTGCACTCGTAGCACTTCCTATCAGTGCGTACATGGGGGGGGGGGCAGTAGTCCTCTTGCCCCCCCTGGGAGTTCCAGGGGGGGCCCTGCCCCCTCCCTGGAAAATACAAATTATAAGGAAACAAATTTAAAAAGAAACAGCTGACAATGACGAAGACTAAGGATTTGTCTAAATTCACTGTTAACACAAAATTTTAAGATACTTTAAACTAAAACTTTTGCAAAAACAAGACCTCGACATATTAGATCATGCTTATAACATGATTGAAGATGTAAGAAAGGTATTCTATTTTCTATTTTTCTATTTTTTCTTACAGTCAATTTATAAAGGAATTGACTCTTTGGCACAGACTCAAATATGTAAACCTTTGGAATCTGATGTTGTAAACCTTTGATATTTCAAATTCAGAATATTTGATCTAACAGAATTCATAGTTTGAAATATCTAAGGTCTACAACCATAGATAAAGATTCGTTATTCGTATTATATATATAGATTAACTATGTATAGGTCGATCGGTTGTAAACATTGGCTGTAGTTGTTATGTAATTGAGTACTTGTAGTGTACATGAGTTCTGTAGAGAGAAATTTAGGTTAGTTTAGTCCTTCTCATGTACGTCCTTCTTCAGTTCTCGTCAATATGATATATTGCTCAGTGAAATATTGTTGTTCAAATAGTTCCATTCCTGGAGTTATATTACACTCTATTCGGGAGGCATGGTTAAACCTAGTAGATTGGAAAAGACCCAATCCGAATGTTATCTGCAGCAACGAACATTTTCCTATAAGTTATATAAAAGTGAATGGGAAAAAGTTGTCAAAGTCTGCTGTTCCCTCAATTTTTAACATTATCGGAGCTGTTCAGAACTGCTCCCTGGAAACTGTTCTGAACGAATATAGTTATGCCGTCCCAGCTATTCAAAAGCTAAAGAAAATGTATGACGGAAACACGAGCAAAGGGAAAAAGTTCCAAAATCAGAGTTATTCCCTCAAAGCTCAAAAAAGAAAACTCGACGAAAAAATTCGCAGTCTAGAATCTGTGATTGTCGAAATAAAAGACAAGTTCTCTTTACCAGAGGAAACTATAAACCTTCTTCACAGTTCAGCAAGTAAAATTCTGGAGGAGTTGTTTCAAAGAGTTATAAAAAAGTTAAAATATTCGGATTG